TGGTAACCAGGCTAAAAGATAGTCCCGCTATTTGCGGAGAGGATGTAGGACTCGGGAGCTATAATAGGTTTGGTAACCAGGCTAAAAGATAGTCCCGCTATTTGCGGAAAGGATGTAGGACTCGGGAGCTATAATAGGTTTGGTAACCGGGCTAACTATCTTTACCTTTTTACAAAATCTTTCAGTACCCTACTTTGATATTAACCAGTGCAATAGCTCAATTGGTAGAGTGCTCGCTTTGTAACCGGGAGGTTGTGAGTTTAAACCCCGGCTGGGTCATACCAAAGTCTTTAAAAATGGTACACACTTCTTTCTCTGCTTAGCACTCGGCACATATGAGAAAGAGTGTGGGAAGGTCAAACACAGCACTACCAGCGGACCAGCCCCTGCTGTAGTGCATTGTACAACTGTGTGTTGCCCAAGGGCTACGGAAATGGATATGGGCACCACCCTATGCTCAGCATAAGGGCACGGGAGACCTTTCCTTTTCCTTTCCTTTGATATTGTTTGCTAGTGACTGTAAACTTCAGTGGCTCACAGTACTGTTCTGTCTTCCAGGCCCATGGCACCTGTCCCAAAGGTGTGAATTGCCCCAGATCACATGATCCCGACATCATCATTGATCAGGAGGACTGGGTCAAGGCCAACAAGAAACGCAGACGAGACAGGAAGAAGAAGAAGAAGGGCAACAAGGAAGGAGAACAAGACATTACCGAACATCCCGTTTCCATGGAAACAGATGATCAAAGTGTAGAAGACTCTGTGAACTGTGACAGTCAGACACACACCGACCAATCAGATGGCAGAACTGGTAATGTGGTTGCAAAGACACCTGTGGGCTGCCACAGGGCTGGATTTGATGCCTTCATGACAGGTTTTGCCATGGCAACCATGGTATGCAAATTAGGAAAGCTCTGTGGCGAGGCCGAATCGTTTTCAGCGAGGTTCCAGCTTGAAGAGTTTGCTAACAGGGTGTACCTGAGTGGAAAAGACTTCCCCTTGCAGGTAACCAGGAGTGCTTTTGCAAAACCTTCCAACAACCATAAGGCCAAGCTGGAAAGACTACAGATTGGAGGGACTCCATATCAGTAATAATTTTAAAGAATCTTGAGATGTTAGTTGTGAGGCCACTACAAATCCGATCTACTCACTGTCAGAAGAATGGTATGTGCATTTTTAGGTACCCATTACTGTGTATTACTGTAGCTGGACTGTGTAAGAGCATTCTGGCTAGTTGCGTCATCATTTTAGACTTCTGACAAGAGCTGTCCCTGTGAAAGCTAGACAGCATTTTATTTGTTCACAACAGATGAAGAACTAGGAGAGCCAAAATATAAGAAATGTGTAAGAAGTGTATACATTGTCCCAAAGCAGAAAATAATTTGGTAACCCTTGTTTTACTGATTTTTAAAAGTACTTGTATTTTGTTATGATGTACCAGTAATGTCAAAGATGACATTCTTTTAACCCAATAAATACATTGTTTAAAGTTTCAAGGATCTACTGCGAGTGAGAGTTTGTCCTCTGTGTGCAGTTGTCATCATCATTTGGTGGTTGTTATGCTTGCGCATCGGACTGTTTCTTCCAGTTCCTTTTGTGCCAGGTAGGTGAGTGATCTGTTTTGGTGTAAGCGGGCCATTGGAGCTGTAGGATTACATGTACATTCAAATACATGTCGGTAACATTACAAGTTGACATCCTTGTGTAATGATGCAGTTGTATAAGCTGCCCATATATACATGTAGAAGTCACCTAAAAATGTCAGTAAAATGACAATTTAATTTTACATCTTGTTAATAATGCTCAGGACAGCTACCTATGTAAAAGTAGCATCATTAAGAAGCCATGCCACTTGTCTAGTAGTAATTAATAAATTGGTAAAAAAGTAATGTGAATATCAGTATTAATTCTACAAAATGTATGAATGAACCATTTTACCTTTGCATTACATTACATTAATTACATGTATGTACAATTAAAAAAAAGTTCTCTTTAGTTTTCATCTATTATACAAAAACTTGCAATTAACATGCCAAGATGGTCTGCCTCCTAGATTGATTTTCCTTATGTCCAGATACTTTGAAATTACTTTCCTATGACCTATCAATTGTAAATCTCCTGTGCCTTTACATATACATTCATACGGGGGTGGTTAAACATTTAAAAAAATCTTTAGTCCTTGTCTCCTTGATATACTCTATCCGTTTAACTGATTTTCCAATGGGTCCAACTCAGTGGGTGGTACCATAGTACAACAATATTACATGTACAGGTACATGTGAATATCTTTAATTCTTGGTTATTTGTCACTCTCCGTTGACTTGTTCATATGCCTTTTTGGCTGGGTCTTTGATGTATATGGAGACTTCTCCAAACACAGGTAGCCTGATGGTCTCAGTCTCCTGTCCCCTAGAGAAGTGGTGAATCACCTTCTGTCTGTCCTGCTGCTGGTTGTACAGAATGGCCAAGTGGTAGTGAGCAGGAGATGCAAAGTATTCATTATCTGGTGTCAGCCTCAGGAGGTGCTCGAATTGTCTGATTGCTGATGTCTCAGAAACTTTCTTAGACAGTAAGGCTGTGCTATACACAGTCTCCACATGGTCCTGTTTGTGCATAAGAGAACTAGCCATGGCTGACAGGGCTTTGGCAAGAGCAGAGGGTTTCACAGTTGGCATCACTGTTGGATTGAAGTCAGGACTTGCCTCCCATATGGCCCATCCCAGGTAGCAGTAGATGTGGTGCAGGTGTTGGTATAGCCAGTCTCCTGGTCCATGCTGTAGGATGGCATCAACCACCTGCTGCAGGGTGTGCACCCGGCTGTCTCCATTTGGTAGCTGCAGGGCTGTCAACAGCAGACAGGTGCTGTCAGTGGGGTCAGCTTGTAGCTGGGATGTCATTAGCTGCATCAGTTTGGCTTTGTTCAAGTTCAGACATGACTGCCCATACAGTATGGTATTTATATCACTTGGTATTTTTTTTTCCGGCTGCATGAATCCATGAACTAAGGCCTTGACTCCCCCCAGGTCTGTGTACCCACTTCTGGTCAGGATTTCTGCTCCTTCTTCCCAGGACATGTGGGCCTTGATGTGACGTTGTGCTGTTGGTGAGTCCTTGTGTTCCTGTAGCCTGGCTGTCTGCCACTTGAGTGATCCCTCTTCCACCTCCTCATGAGCTGAAGTGATGGACATGGCTGCTATAGAGGACATGTCTTCAGGCAGGCCTGAGTCTCCTCCTGTAGTCACACTGGGTGGCACTGTCTGTAAAGGAAGGAAAAAATAATCACAATAAAGTAATACGTGATTGTACCGGTATTTTGGAACACTGTCGACGTCAGAAAGATCATTGAACAGAACAGAATCATTGAATCATTTGTGTGTATTTGTGTTAAAATTATTGATGATTACAACAGATTTGCAAGTTCTATGCCATAGCAAGTTCAACACAGCACCCTCCATAGTTCTGCAAATTGAAATGTGCATAGCTATAAAACTTATATACACCATACCTGTTTCTCCACCATCCCTGCCCACTCGGATCTTTCCCCTTCCTGCTCTGTTCCTGTTTCCCTTTCCTGTTCTTCTTCCTGTCCCTGCTCATCTTGAAACAACCATCCCTCCAGCCCCACTTGGATCAGTCCAGTCCAGCCAATCTTCTGAAACTCGTCCTCCAATAGCAGCTGCAGACAGGTGCTTCCAGTCCCCTGGTGGATTTTCTCATTGAAGCTGCGGAGGACCCAGTAGCCAGCCTGGGAAAACAAATCATGGAAAAAACAAGACATTATTGGTATCGTTCCTCCTTACTTATTTTCTACTGCTATGTACAGTAAACTGAAAATTGTTTGCCTTTGTACTGTAAGCCACAGTAAGGTTGTCTCTATGTCTACAGTAAATACATGTACATTAATATTAACATTACAGTAAATACATGTACATTAATACCTGATGGGGGAGGCTTTTGAGGCCTGTGTCAACTTACATGTAAATGCCGGATAACACTAGAACCACCAAACTTGGTGACTTTCCCTGAAATATTATCTGGCAACAATTTCATGTTGCTATGGCAACAGTTTTCTGACATTTTGGGGGGAAATTCAGTAATTTTGGATAACATAATTATATAGTTTTAGGATTCTCAGTGTTCAGTTACATGTTTTCTAACATTAATAATTGTTATGTAATTCTTAAAAGTATGCAATTTGATGTAACATCATTAAGAATCCATATTCTATACTAATTTGATCATTTGTCAACCATATCATATCATTAAGTGTGACTGTTATTTTCCCTAAAACTTCATCACTGCTAGCCAATAAAATCACATAAAGACGTCATAATGGCATCATATCAGGTCATAACGGCAGCAAATTTGCCATTATGACTAGTACACTGTTTTGTATCATCCTCTAAAAATTTGACGATCATACAATAAGTAGTTTACGAGTTACTGGAAGATCAAAAATATGGTCTGAACAAGGTTAGCTAGACTTGCCTTGAAATTTGCTGGTATACCATTTGTGCACATCTTACCTGAGAGAGAAACTTCACATGAATGAGGAGAGATCCTTTCTCAATCTTTTCCACAATTATGTGGCCGTCTTTCTCCACTGCCTTGCAGATGGCTTTGTCTGTCTTCTGTCTGTTTGCAAGCCAAAAAGCTGCCAGGCTCATGGCCCCTGCTGCTATCCCTGTACCCACAATGGCCGCTGGTGACTGGGTGGCTTGGCTGGCAACATAAGACGCACCTACCGTCACCCCTCCAACTATGGCTGCAGCTGCAAGACCAGCATCCTTGATCCGGATAGTTGCCCCCCCAAAGCCACCCTCCCTCCTTTCCATCACAGCTGCAGCTTCGAATACAGGGGTAGATTGCTCACGGCTGGCTGCTAGCACAGGTGGACATTTCACTGCAGCTTGACCGATTGGGTCTGCTTGAGATGCAGCTGCAGCTTGTTCAGGAGCCTGAAGGTGCATCTGTTGCCCAGCTGGCCCCAGTCCCCCAGACTGGCCCCCTGGCTGAGCGCCTTGCCCCTCTGCACCACTACCCTGTGCCCGAACCTGCGTCGTCATCCTCACACTTGGCTGATCTGCCTGACCTTGCTCTTGAATCTGCCTTGAATCCTGGTCAGACATTGTGATGAAGGTTCTGGGCTAAATCTTTAGATTAATAAGTGAAACTGAAGGTAGATCCGTGTCTTTTTGCAGTCAAGGGACTGGGCAAAATGGGGGTTAAGAAAGAGAAAGGAGGACTTTATCCAGTCACGTCACTAGTTGAAAACAAATAATTCACTTCTGTATCACACTATAAAAGTTAATGTTTAGCTGTGACACAACCTAGTATGATACAAACATGGTTGTGTTTAAATTGTAGGGTCAAAAGTCACACAATGTAATATACACGGATGATGTGTGGACAGCACCATTACTTCATGCTATTTTCACTTACATATAATTTGTAGATCTCTTGTGCCTCAACATGTATGTATACATTCATGTTAGGTGTTGAAGAAATATTGCCTGTATAGTTTTCCTATGTGTCTAAGGCCACACCAATTTAATTTGTTGGTTCTCGGATTCGCCTCTTCATTTTTTTCTATTTGCAAAAAAAAAATTACTGGTTCTGAATCAACTCAAAAATGCTCATATTTTGCCCCCAACAGTTGAGGAAATTCCTTTTCTTACTAGTTGTTACAGTTTTTCCATCTATCAATGCAGTGGTTTGATTAAAAGTTCAAAATTTATACTTTAAATTTTAACCCAGCCTTTTTTGTTGACTTCATGGCTCATATTGTAGCATTTGGGGCTATAATAGGATGCCTAGAACTGTTTTTATTTTTATTTTTTTTCGCCCTGTCGCTTCATATTTTTTCTGAAAAAATCCGAGAACCAACAAATTAAATTGGTGTGGCCTAACTTGTGGAAGGGCATAGCTATATATCTGCCTGACCTTGTTAATGAAACAATGCTACAATTCCATAGTGGTAACTGCCAGCAACTTCATAGTTGCATTTGGAAGTTAAGTGATGGTGAACATCATTGAACAAACTTATGAGGAATTACTAGAATAGCCTTGTAATGATATTTTGTAAATAATATGATCAACTGGTATAATTAATGCAAATAGAATCTCATTTGCATAATCAATGAGAAACATAATTCTTTAGTCATAAAGGTTAACATCATTTAGCAAAGCTACGAGGTCGTGAAACACTGGTATTATGACTGTCACACTGATACACAAAAGAGTCAAGACACTAACAAGATCTGCTCCATCCGTAATTAGTTTTTATTTGCAAACAGTAAACTTTGTAGAGGACATACATTATCTGCTTGACATTGTTTTTAGTCATAATTCTGAAAGCACAAAGTTTTTTTTACTGCCTTGTTACATTATATTTTGCGAGTAATTGGGAAACGAAAAAATACCATAATAAACAGGTCACCCTTCTTGTCATCCTGAATGACAGGACAACATTCCAAAAGACAACAAAAACACAACTTGAGACAACATCCTTCCTGACACCAAGCCATCAACCCTGTCTTATATTCCTCTGTGGCCACAACACTTCAGTTTTTTTTATAAGGTTACAAGTCTGATTAACATATACAAAAGAAATGATGTATGCCTTTGTAATTTTTCCTTTACATCATCAAAATCCTTCAGTAAATTCATCCCTTTGACTAGTGTGGGGTCCAAATATATCACTACTTTGTGTAAGAAAAAAGATCAATTCATTGCACAAAGCACAGGTGTGTAAAACTGATTGTTTGGAGGGGTGTGCAGGTTTAGGACAGCAGGGGTGTGAGGGAGGGCGTGGCGCAGTGCAGTCTTGGTCCTGATCTAGACGCCCTCTCCCTTAGAAGGCTCGTCAAAGTTGGCCACCAGTTCTGTGGTCAAGAAAACATGACAACTTACAAGAGGATACATATGTATTGAGCCTGAAAGGATTTCCAAGACTTAAAAGAAACTTTGTGAAAACAGACCTAAAGGTAGTGGTGCATACCAGTTCACTGGACTTGGATCCGGACTTGTAAGAATGTTTAGGTTCAAGTCCAAAAAAACCTAAAAGTCAAGAACCGAGTCCGGACTTATTACCATAAAAGACCATTTCACATACCACTTTTCTTTTCAAACCACCTAAAACCTTCCATAGATTGCAAAATCTTTGCTGCAAAATGAAGAAAACATTGCCATCGTCAAGTACCGGCCTCCATGTTATGTGGCCAAAGTTTCACCCAGACAACATTGCAAGGTTGCCAACATGTAATTTTGTATATGGTATGGGTTTAGGTCCGAACCTCTGGACTTGAATCCGGACCTGAAGCTAAATGTGGGTTTAGGTATGCAGCACTATTTACCACTGGATCCACCATACAGCCCTTGTCTAGCCTAATCATTGGAGCGCCCGTTACCTTGTGACGGCAGAGACTCTGCCAATTTCTTCAGGTTGGACAGACTGTCAGCTCCCTGTGAGGAAAAGGAAGAACAAATTAAACAACAACAAAAACAAAAACAAATTTTGTGTAACTTTACCAGAAAGTAAGACAATCTACAACTAATGTCAGTTCTTGTCAATGAATATCCTTGCTACAACGATGTACATGTACAAAGAGAAACAATTCACAGCCCAACTTTTCTCTTGTATGTGTAGAAGTTCTGTACTCACCAGCTGGTTCAAAATGCCTGGCAACATTTCTGTCAACTCTGCAATAAAGAAACCAAAGACACTATGAATCGATAGTATGATTTTTGACTTATGTAGAACATTGTAGTATCTTGACAGACAAGAGGACACTTTGAAAATCTTTTGCCCATACATTCACTAAATCTAAGATAACTTCGGGTAGTGCTGCATACCGGTTCACTGGACTTGGATCCGGACTTGTAAAAATGTTTAGGTTCAAGTCCAAAAAAAACCTAAAAGTCAAGAACCGAGTCCGGACTCATTACCATAAAAGACCATTTCACATACCCCTTTTCTTTCCAAACCACCTAAAACCTTAGGTAGATTGCAAAAACTTTGCTGCAAAATGAAGAAAACATTGCCATTTTGCATTGTCAAGTACCGGCCTCCATGTTATGTGGCCAAAATTTCACCCAGACAACATGGCAAGGTTGTCAACATGCAATTTTATATATGCCATGGGTTCAGGTCCGGACTTACAAGTCCGGAACTGACCCTTAACCTCTGGACTTGAATCCGGACCTGAACCTAAATGTGGGTTTAGGTATGCAGCACTAACTTCGGGTTTACATCGCATCGTGTAAAACGGAAGCCATCAGTCTGACACAGACAGTAAAGCAGGTTTCTCACGTTTGTTTTCAGCGTGGCCGGTGATGGCGAAAGTGTTGGCAGCGAGGGAGGCCTGGACCTTGGGGTTGTTGAAGTGGACAACAGTCCCATCATCCTTAATCATGTTCACCTGAGGAGGAAAAATACAAACATGTATGATGCAGAACTGCTGTAGATGCTGTTGAACTTGAAGTCTTAACATAATCAAAATCTAAGAGAATCAACTGTCATGACTAGTGATGCATACCTAAGCAAAGATTTTACAATCTACGGACGGTTTTAGGTGGTTTGGAAAGAAAAGGGGTATGTGAAATGGTCTTTTATGGTAATAAGTCCGGACTCAGTTCTTCACTTTTAATTTTTTTTTGGACTTGAACCTAAACATTCTTACAAGTCCTGATCCAAGTCCAGTGAACCGGTATGCATCACTAGTCATGACATGTGGTGGTCAAAGATCTAGAAGTACCTCCTCTATTCCTGGGATGTTGTTGACTGCCAGTTTCTTCAGACTGGACTGCAGTTTCTTGTCATCAGTGGTGGCCGTCCTGTGGACAACCTTTCTTTTCCTACGAGCACTGCCCTAGAAACAACACAAAGGCAACAAGCTCACATTGGAGTGAAGGATACACATACTTGTTACTTGTATGATTATTTTCATGTTTCACAAATTCAGTTAGTTTGCAGAGCTGCAGCTTTAGACAAATAGAACAGCAGATGTGTAATGTCGAGTTGTGTATACTTGAGTAAAAAAAAATCAAAACTTACCTTTCCTCCTATACGGACTTGCTCGGACAACCTCTGCATTTTATTCAACGTTTCTTGATTCATTTTTCTGGCTTTTTATTGTATTTTTTCTTGTTATAAACTGTAAAAAGAAGGAAAGATATGGCTATCAGTTATTTTACAGTCAGCAATAATTGTATGAGAAACACAACTAAGCGATAAAATGATATGCTTATATGATTTGTCTTGTCATTTACATAAAAAATTCATTAACTATTGGTAAGACAATTCATAACTTGACTTTCAACCTATACTCAAGGTATTTCCTGGTCTCCAAGTCGCAACACAACAAGGTAAGAATTTTCAAAATTGCATCATCATAAATTTTCCAGACACTAGACTGTCTAGAGGGAGTGTATTTTTTGGGGGATGGTTTCTGAATGGGGATCGTTTGTGTATATTCCTTTTTTCGTTGTTATTTAAAGATATCTAGCATTCACAGCTGAATCCACATATGATGGGGGGGGGGTGAGATACATGTACATCCATGCCATGTGATCTGCTTCCTTTGTGTCAAAAATAGCGATCGCATGGCTCACTTTTTGTTCAAGTTGCTAGGGCCGACCAAAATCAACACGTATTCCTACCGCGACCAAAAATCTACCATCTTAGACAAAAGACTTTCTTAAATGACGTCGAAAAACATCAAAAGTGTGAATGAATCCTAATTTTGGGACATACCACGAGTCGTGATGAGTGCGCCTGTGATGTGAAAATCATAATGAATTTCGGACAGGCAACCGACATGTGCCGTTTCCAATCCACGAAACCGTCGTCTGTGCCGAAAATACCCCCACATTTCTCATTAAAAACATTCCAGAATTGATCGGAGACATGAGATTACTGTTCTAGTGCGAATCTGACGGAGTAAAGCTGAGAAAAATGGAGAAACTCACCAAAAGTCGCGGCTACCTTTCAATGCACGAGGCAATAAGATGGCGGGACAGGAATTTCGTGTGGAGTGACGTCAGAGGTCAAATCAAGTCGCCCACACTTTTGTCAAATATCGCCTAAATATAAATCAAGATGTAAATTACTACTTTACTGACATTTTTGGGCTGAAAAATTCCTTTTGAATGGATATCTTGAGGGTTTGATTAAAAAGAACAAAGCTTTCCCGAAAGTGTGACCCCAAGGGGTTAAAGATTATTTGCCGAAACCATAAAGGGTAGGGAGGATATTTTAAATGTTCAAAATTATAAGATTTTTCCTGGATTATCATGGGCATAATGGTAAATAATTCATCTATAAAAGTTAAACAAATACAAAAATTACTATGTAAATGCAAAATAACGGTGTAAAAGGCACATAGATGAAAAATAGTATCATTTTTACCATTCAAAGAATAACTGCACCCCTATAAGATTGTTAAAGTCGACTCTTCTTGTGATGTCATCAGCGCGGAATAAAAGGCGCGAAAGCCGCGAGGTGTTGTGCAGTGGAAGCCTCAGTCGCAGGAAAGTTCTGACCAAAATCCTCTAATTCACACGTACCAGCAAATCTTACAACATGGCAACGGACGTAGCAGCACCAAGTACTTCGTCAGGCAGCCCAAGGTACCGGCTACTTTCCTCTTGGAGTTATTTTGTCGCCTATTTCTCGAAGCTAAAGTGGCTACAATCTCGTCTGTTTTTGTCCTGAAGTGCATTACCTTCAAATTCGGAGCGCGCCAATGTGAAGAATATTCGTGAAATACTTCACACTGTATCTACATCTTTCTCCTCGTATGTTCGCCTATAATACCAGCTTGTAACTCTGCTCTGTACTTTTGCCCTGTTTTGTGGAGTTTAGGAAGAAATTAGGCGTATTTGACAAGTGGGTATGTGATTTTAGCGCCATGCGGCGCAGGGGGTCATGCATGTGAATATTATTAGCTTCATGCATATGAAGTTCTCGCGCCCCACCTGTAAATTTTTCAACATGCCCCGTTTTAACAGGTGTGCTTGTAAAGTAAGCATTATTTCCAATAAAAAGTGCAAAAAAATACGATTTATGAATACACTATATTATGGCGTGATTAATGCTTATATATGTTGTGATAGATTATGATTATGAATTAGATAATTTAGATGCCGTTGGTGTGAAACAGGTTGGGGGTATTTGCTACGTGTTAATTTGTAGTTTTCTCCAATGATATTAGGCTACATTTCTTTCTACATTTCATTAGGCCTATTTGTTACAATGTGGTAATTGTGTAGCAAAGTTTTATCAATTTTATTCTTATCAATCGACATCATTGCACATCAGATAAAATCAGTTTTTAAATAACAGTAACAGCCTAACAATTCAAGTTTCATGATTAAATTGGATATTTCTTGCTCATGGACAAAAATCAAATGGTTTTGCCTGGGTCTCTTTGCACCATTTTATTATGTTTTACTGTCTGACTGAAAATGTACATCAAACCATCAAACAACTATGATAATACAGCGTTTAGAATGTTCTCATTGAACTACTAATGATAGAGACAGATACCATTGCCACCCTGGTATGCAAAGATTTGTTTTCGTGGCTGGTGCCAGCTTTGGTGGAGGACCTTGTGTTTTGCCCAGTTTTTGGACAAGACAAAGATATATCAATTATTAGTTTTATCCAATGACTGAACCAAATGCTTATCTTATATATCTTATCTTATATATTATTATTGGTTTAATAGCAGCTATTTACAAATTGAATCAGAACCCCTTTCAGGACTGTTTTCTTGACCCAGTTGTTTGGACAGTTGCAAGAAAGCCTCACTCTGAGTCAATGTCGGGCAATGACCTTGGGACTGTACCATTTTGGAGGCCTTTGGGGGGATAATTTTTTCCCATCATTAAGACATTGCTCCATATTTGCTTGACATTAATTTCTGCAGCATACATGATGCCAATCCTGTTTTGCTAGCAACCAAATTATGCAGTTGCATTGAAATACCAACTTCCATCGTTTCAATTTCATTTCGAGCTTTCTTCAAAGAAAGTTTTTCCCAAACTAGAAAGGCCGACATTTGCTTGGGAGCAAATACAGCATATTTCAGTCCATCTCCCTCCCACGCAAAAGTGGACTATTCCAAACTTACCCCAGTGCAAAACTGGCAAAGGTTCTCAAATGAATTAATTAAATAGTAGCTATATGAGAACAAAGATGCAACAACAAGTACTTTGAATCTCGAAAGCTTTACTAATCTTATTACAGGTATTAAAAAACTAACAATGATGAGATTTGATACATTTTGAAGGTCTTAGGCACATAAAATTGAATGTGTGGGTCATTACTCACCACTTAGGTGCAATGTGACCTCAGGTAACCCGCAATGGAACACTGTTCCATGGATGGAACCGGCCATTCTTTAGATAGAACATGGAACGGGTACAGCACTTTTGGCCCTTTTTTTGCTGAAAATAGCCATTAAAGTCCCCCAAATGAGTCGTTTGGAAGTGGTGTATGCCAAATACACGACTGCTATTCTGTAGACACACGTTCAAGGTACCCTTATACCGAATGTCATATCATTTGGTTGTAATAATACCAGGGCTCAGGATCCAAAAATCCATTTTTTGTCGAAAAATGCCCCCAAAAAACCTTCATAAAAATTTTTCAAAGGCATGTTTCAAAAAAATGAAAAAAACGTCCGGGGGTATTGGCCCACTCTACCTCCATGCCAAATATCAGGTCATTTGGCTGAATGATGGCGGAGTTGAATCCCTTTGAGTGTTTGGCAGGAGGAGAAGGAGGAGAAGGAGAAACATGAGGGAACACAATATATTTCATCCATACCATGGTATGGACTGAAATGTAACTATGAAACTGGTGTCTAGACTCTGTACATTTAACCATTGTCTACTAACTTACCTCTTCCTTTTTCATTTTAGCAAGGACCTTGATAGTGAAGCGAAAGATCTGATTGGCCAAGGTCGGCGCCATCTGGTAATGGGAGAGATTCCAAATGCCGTCAACTGTTTCCAGGAGTGCTGCGGCATCTTGTGAGTGTGTGCATCTTTAATTCTTAACTTGTGGTGCTGGGTTTGTATCTTTATCTGTATAGCTGGTATAACCGCCCTTCGGCGTAACACACCAGGTTTGCAGGCACGCGGCGCGGCGGCAGCTAGCTATATCACACCGAACAACTTGTTACACTCAATCTTTGCACATTTAATTGCAGGAGTTGTTTAAAGCTTTCTTGTGATGATGCCCCTACTGTGCTTGGTGGCAATGAGTTCCACTCTACGATAGTTCTGGGGAAATACGAGTTTTTGAACACCTCAATTCTTGGTTGATACATGTAACTCTGATATTTGAAGGCATGACTGTTTCTCATCCTTTTAGAGTTCTTCTCGTTCGGTTTAGAGCATTTTCTTAAAAACAAGTTGGTCAGAAAACTTGATGCATGTATTCGACTTTTTAGAACATGTAGCTCTGAAATAAAATTTGATCTGTGTAACTCATTGATGTGTTTGCCTCTTAATCAATGCCTTTAAAGGCATCCAATGCGATTTCAGATCAGCAAAACTGGAAATATTTGGAATAAGGCAATCTTTATGATATTGACACATACTGCTTCACATTAGCACATTTGAGTCAGTATTTCATACTCTGGTTATTGAAAACTGCAGAAACAAGCCCCAACATGAGTTCTTTATTTTATGGGTGGTACCCTAAAAATCAGCCCAGGGCCCTTCCAGTAACTATTTTCCGTTAGAATTTTGGATATTTTTGCTCCATGAGGGTCAATATACATTGGGATAAAGTGGTTTTAACTTGGCATGTAGATAAGTGACTTGAATATTGACTTTGAAAAATTGGGTTTCCAAACTAAAAACTGCACTGGATGATATTTAGATTGATGCGTTTGCCATTTGCCTCTTGTGATACCTAGATATTGTGAACTGGTAACAATTTTCCACACCAGGCATTGTCATTAGTTGGCATCTTGAATGTTTCTACCTCTATAATGTGATCATGATCATCATTCATAGGGCTGCCAAATACGGAGAGACAGCAGATGAGGTTGGTGAGGCGTACTATCTGTATGGGAGGTCCTTGATAGAACTGGCTAGGTTAGTCCAACTTTCTTTTATTTGAAGACAGGGCCACACCAATTTAATTTCTTGGTTAACGAATTTTTCTAGAAAAATAATGAAGCGGGCCGGCGAAAAAATAAAATAAAAACAGGCCTAGGCATCCTATTATGGCCCAAAAATGGTACGATAGGAGCCATAAAGTCAACACACCAGGCTGGTTCAAAATTTAAACAATGAATTTTGAACGTTTTAATGATACCATTGCATTTAAAGATGGAATAACTGTAACAAATAGGAAGAAAAGGACTGTTTTCAACTGTTCAGGGCAGAATATGAGCATTTGTCAGTTGACTCTGAATTTTTATTTTTATTTGCGTAATCAGAAAAAAATGAAAGCGGGCGAATCCGTTAACCAAGAAATTAAATTGGCGTGGCCTAGTCAATCTTTTTTGGAAAAATCTCTTTAAATTGAACTGATATGGAGTTAAGATATTTTTTTATTTTTGTCAATTACCATATCTCGTGATAAATAATCATATTTGATTCCCAGGATGGAGACTGGTGTCCTTGGTAATGCCTTACAAGGAGGTGGGTATTTATTTGTATCTGTCTTCACCCTTCTCAGATATATATTGTTTTGTTTACCTTCACAGTTTGATATTTGAAATGAGATGGTTAGCTTACATTCAGGCAATGTTCTGTTCATTTACTCTCTTGCCAAATGACATAACATTTACTTTCTCAAAAATATTGTTAAACTTAAAGTAAATGACAGAAAGAGTGTTGGCAGAAGTCATTATGAAACAAGTTTGAACTGCAATTTTGAACACATGAAATTGGACTTACCCAAATTTTCAACTGTACAACTCCAGTCTTTGCAAGGAATGAGCAATCCACTGCTTCTGGGCCATCACACCAGATAACACATGTTGCAGAAAGTCTGTGGCGCCCCCCGTCTCTATTGAGGGATGGATGTAATGCCTGGATGTAGATGGCCTCTGCAAAAAAGACAGGGGGCGCCACAGACTCCAATGGACCTGTACCATTATTACGTCACAGTTTGTTTACCGCAATGAATGCCGGTCAATCGACGTTTATATTGTACAGGGGTGCGTAGCGCGGTGTGTGTTTGTGTAGCGTTAGCCTAATATAAGGCTTTTAATACAGTACTACTTTCGTCTAATGTCACAACTAAATCACCCATGCGGCATGTAATGCTGTGTCAACACAACTAGACCCAGCAAAAATCAAACATACCTGACTTTGAAAACTTTGAAATGATCTTTATTCTTTAACTGATCGTTCTAGAATGTTCTTTAGAACAGGTAAACAAACTGTGACGTAATAATGGTATAGGTCCATTTCTTGTGTTGGAAATTGCACTTCAAATTTGTTTCATAATAGTTCCTTCTTCTTCACACAGTACCAGAGGAGTCTGACTCTGAAGCTGAGGAGGGGGAAGACAGCACAGTTGGCAACCCTGATGAAGTCAAAGGTAAAGTCGCTCCACTTGTATTTCAGCTGCAACTTGTTAAGAGAAATACTTAATACGACAGTTATGGTCAGGTATTGCATGTTAAAAGTTCCAAGATAATGTCATTCCCTAAGTATTAATTTCAGTATATTACTTAATATAAAAAATAAAGGAGTAGGGTGTTGGATATGTGGGTATGTAATTGTAAGGGTGCTTACAGCACTCACAGGACAAGAAATATATTTGAATATAAATGCTTTTTCTCTACATGGAAATGATTTCCTCTAATTCTTTCCCCAAAACTTGCATGAAAGTTTGCAAATGAGTATGATTGTGTGTAATTTGCATGGTCCTGTAGGAGAGGAGAGGGAGAAAGTGTCAAAAGAGGTGGGAGAAGCCTTTGAGGCAGTTATAGAGGCCGCTGAGGCCGCCAAGGAAAAGAAAGGGGAGAAAGGTTTGTCCCTGCAATGAGTGTCGCTAACGCTGCACTGTCTGTCAAATGCACACCAAATAACTACCTGTGGCTTGATGATCAAGACGGTTCTACCTGTAACATGTCCATGTCTACCCTTGCATAAGTACATGTCTACTTCCAGCTTTGCCACATCACAAGGCATTACTACAGGTGACTCTTCCAGTATTGAAACATGAAACAAGGGCGATTACCCAAGCTTCTGTCCAAGTAGCCAAATTTTCAGCAACGTCAAAGAATTGTATGTACAGTAGTAACTGGGGGCTACTTTACCATTGCTGCTTTGCCTCAAAAACTATCTGGAGATGTATAGATGGTACTCAAATCACCTAATCTGGTATAAGCCCCTTTCTTTATTCCATGTGTACAAAGTAGTAAACTCACTTTGTTTTTTAAGATACACCTGAACAAGAGGCAGATACAGACAAAAAGGAGGAAAGTGATGACACCAAGGCAAAGGATGATGGGAAGGGAGATGCTGATGCAGAAACAAAGGATGATGGGAAGAAAGATAAAGAACCTGACACAAAGGCTGATGAGAAAGAAGAAAAGAAAGACGAAGCAGATGCTGAAAAGGAAGATGCAGAGGACACTGGGAAGTCAGAAGAGGAGGTAAGAATGAAAGGCTTCTTTGTTGAACCTGACTAGAGAAACTGCTCCTGTGATAGCAGATATGGTTCTATATGTTTAGGCCTAGGAAAAAAATGTTGTTTCCTGTTCCCAACAGAGCCTAGAAAAGACTGCCGACCTTAGCAATTTTTAGGGTGGACCGCTGCAAGGGACATGAAGTTTTCGTGCTGATCAACCTTTCTAGCTCCATGATCTGACACATCAGTGGAGCTGATCAGTGATAAAACGTTGTACAATTTGTTTTCCAACATTGACATTGAAAAATATAAGTCCTCATGCAAGGACGATGGCCAAAGTCCGATAAAAAAAAGGAAGGAAAAAAGATAATCCCTACGTACCAACCATAATTTTTTCAGGACTGAAACAGGAAACACAACTTTTTTTTTCTAGGCCTTATTTACATTTGATAATATAATATTGACTTTTCTACACAGGTCAGCCAGGATGAAGAAATGGAAACAGGAGAGGACCAATCAGAGGGAGTTGAAGAAAAGGACTCGGAGAAGGAGTCAGAGAAAGAATCTGAGGTCTAGTTTATCTCTTACACTTGTGTGAAGAATTGCTAATACTCTCTGCTGATGTAATGCTGTCTTCTGTAGTGATCAGAACTAGAAATAAGGACAAAACATTGTGAAGAGAAACTGCATGTGGTCGTTGTTCATATACTTTGTTTCTACCTCCAGGCTTCAGAGGATGTCAGTAACCTCCAGCTTGCCTGGGAAGTCCTGGAACTGGCCAGGAACATCTACAGCAAGTCAGTTCAACTATTTATATGGAAAACAATCACAAATTTTGTTTTGAACATATTTGAATGAAGGCAACAGTCTTACAGTTGATACAGTAAAAGATTTTCATTTTTTCTATATGCATATGTGTATTATGCTGGATTCAGCTGGAACATATTTTTTATTTATTGTTTTGAATACTATCTACATGTATATGTAATGCTTTAATAGTTCTGTCTGCCTTTGTTTTTTACCTACAGGAAGGAAGCCAAGGAAGACAGGTTAAAGCTGGCCCAGATCTACCTGCACCTTGGAGAGATTGGACTGGAGACAGGTGAGTTTTGATAATTATAAACAGCTAATTATGTACAAAATGTATCTCCAACTCTTTCTGCTACCTAACTGTTTGATGTAGATCTACAGTGCTGCAAAATTCTATTCATAAGAAAAAAGTTCTAAGCATTTTCCAACCCACAAGTTTTTTTGTTTGTTTAGCATACCGGTTAACTGCTTTTAGGCGTAACACACCAGTTTTGTACATGTAAGTACAAGCTGCGTAAGACCGGACTGTTAAGGTTTGAACCACTTACACCGGGAAGGTCCCCTACTCTTTTCGATAAGTGCAGTGGGTCCTTTAATTTGTGTTGGGTGTGGCTGTTACCAATACGGGACCTCTATTTAATGTCCTATCCAAGGGATGTCCCTAACCGAAGCTAGGTACTCATTTCATCCTGAGTGAAATGAGGAAAGTCCCAAGGGCACAAGATCAGTGACATGGGTAGGATTCAAACCCGGTACCTCTTCATCCTCTGCCGAACATGCTATCATTTACACCACACGACTCCACTTTGGATTAAGCTATCTGAAGTTCTCCAGGAAGTGCATAAGCAAAAGACTGTACAAGACGATGGTGGATGTGTTTTTGTTTATCACCTGTTCCAGAGAAGTACGACCAGGCTGCTGAGGACTTCATGTCGTGTCTGAAGATCCAACAGGAACTGCTGGACGCTGAAGACAGGCTGCTCGCTGAGTCGTATCCTTGGGTCATTTTCTCAGGCAATATTAGACATAATTTTGAAACATAATAGAAACAATTCTCTCAAAGCCTGTAGTACCATTTTAATCTACTGTTGGGCATCTAGAATCATCGGACAAACAATATTAGATGAAAGAAAAAAACTAGATATTCTTTCCAAAGGTTTGTACTTTTCTTAGTTTGCTAGCAGTGTGTTTTTGTCTTGTGAAGTGTAGCAATTGTATTAAGCAGGAAAGTTTTTTTGTTGTTTGGACCTTGACTTGTGATGCAGTCACTACCAACTGGGCCTGGCCTACAGTTTGAGCAAGGACTATGACAAGTCCATCGAGGTAAGCAAGTCCAGTCCACAACCATGATGCTAACAGTTAGTGGTGATATTGTTATTCTCCAGCCTGGGAGCACGCATTTTCTTGCTGGTTCTAGAGCATTTTGGGGATGTATACAGAAAAGTGTTGTTAGCCCTGTGCCCAACCAAGTTAAGTGTAGTTATGAGTTTAAAATCGATACCATTGAATTTAACCAGCATGCCAAAGCAAACATGGCTTTTTATGTTTACCGAAGGAAAACATATTGCTTTTGCTCAGTTTCTTCTTCTTCTCCAAACAGTGACCTCTGACCTGACCAATGACATGATTTGTTGACATCTGTCACCATGGTGACTGGTGTTGAGTTACATAATGTTGCAATTTCATGGTCTGCTCTGCTCCTGTCACCATATACTAGTAGTACATGTATGTGAATGTGTTGAGTAAGAATTAACAGAGCAGACCATGTCCGAAGGTAAACATTATGCATTTGCTATGAAAATGTCACTTCTCTAGTTTTTACTAGTTTTTTCTCATCTTATACTAGCTTATAAGATGAGAAATACATACTAGCTTATTGATGTGAGGTAAAGTTGTGTAATGGCACATGGATACATTTGCACATTGTAACGTGAAGTGTATTTTGTTTTTTCAGTACTACCGCAACTCCCACAATGTTATCAAATCCAGAATAGGTAAGTTACAACAACTTATGGACTACTGCAAGCATGACGTTAATTTTCTGAAATTGTTAGGACTTACAGGCCAAAATGTGTAGCATTACAATGTTTTTCTGAGTTAATGTCCAAGGTTTTTAACTGGATATTTCAGAAGGATGCATGCTAGTGGGTGATATATAATAGGATCTTGTTTTCGAATGAAACTTTGAAAGCTCATCTGTGTTGGTAGAATCCATAGTTAAAGAGTTTGACTTGTTCCAACACAAGAAGGAAACTCACCATAAATTTTCGGCTGATCCCGTCAACCTTCGTCAGATTTGTTCAAACACATCGGAAGTGTCGCAACACATACACATCGAGTCCCCCGGACATACAGTTACATTGGACAAGGTGCGCATTCTAGATACGGAGCAGGATTACTTTGTGAGAGGTGTGAAGGAGGCAGTTTACATCAGGGCCCACCAACCCTCTCTGAACTGTGATGGTGGGAGATACCGTCTTCCCGCCACTTTTGATGCACTCCTGACGTCATCACTTTTCCGACTTCCGGAAAGTCAGCGACTGCATCACAAATCTGACGAAGGTTGACGGGATCAGCCGAAAATTTATGGTGAGTTCTCCTTCTTGTGTTGGAACAAGTCAAACTCTTTAACTAAGGATCTTGTTTTATTCTCAGGCATGTTGCAAGGCAAGATTGAAGAGCTGGAGACTGGAAAAGGAAAAGGTACTTAAGCTTCAGATTTGTGTACTTTGCACCATTACTTTAACATTACATGTGATGTGTACATACTTTTTTGTACCAATAACTTGAATATTATCCATGAGAAGATATTCTGGAAAAATCTGAGAACCTAAGGAAGAATATAGGTCATAACTTTGATAACTTTGATATAAATACAAAACTCACACATGCACTCCACACATTCATTGCCCAATCAAAAGATTCTGTGCCTCTTCCAGCTGAGCCTCACTTAACATTCATTTTGCTGTATAGTTATAAAATAATTGATTTTAATTATAGGTGTAATTTATATGAAAATTGTTATTTGTGTATATATCTTGCTCTAACTATTTATTGTTGTTTTTCTATGTCATATGTGATGTATGTGTTAGGTGTGTACGCTATCAGCATACTTGCTGCCTAGTGCACACTTTGTATTGTCATGTTGCAATTTTGAATAAATAAATAGATAAGAAATAGATAAAATATAGATAAAAATAAGGAAGAATTTGTAGCAAAATTGGTATTGTTTTTGCAGAGCCTGTGTCCTCAGATGACCCCATCATGGTCCATAGGAAGGAGGTAGAAGAACTGAATGCTCTGCTGCCTGAGATCAGCTCCAAGGTGGGAATCAGAGGGCTTCAATTTCTCAACACACATCCTATTGTATACATGTAGCTCTTAATTCATGTGTACATTGTATATGTACTTGAATAACCTAATTAGTTTGGCTATGTTGATTTGATTATATGGATGACATCCTCTGGGAACCCCAAAACTGATGCGAGCGCGCGAATAAAAAAAAAGTTTTGCAAAAAAAAAAGATGCTTTCATGAAATCTACGTTGTTATGAAGGTCGAACAAATGACACAGAGTATGGTATGGCGAATAATCTACTCTTTAAATTCATTTCTTTGCATTTTAGTTTTTTGTTTGATTTTGGCATTCTACGACGTTGGAATCGTTTTCAAATATTTTTTTTGCAACTTTCGGTATATATTTGCTCAATTGTACATGTATTTTGTACAATTTACAGTGTGGTTGGAAACTTTTTTTTTTTGGAAACGGCCGAAAATTCATGCGCGCGCGCGGATGTCATCCATATAATCAAATCAACATGGCCTTAGTAGTCTTATAGAATGCTGTCTTACTTGAGTTACTATACCATAAAAGGGACTACGGGGTATACATGTTTCATAGGCTGCATCAAGATCAAATCTTAGGCTGAAGTTTTTTTCGGAATGTTTTTTTATTTCCTTGAACAGATGGAAGATGCTGAGGAGATGAAGAAGGGAGCGGAGGAGGAGGCCCGTGCCATCATGGCCTCAGAACTGGTACGGTATAGATGGACTATGTTGATTAGTGCCGTGTTCCCTAAAACTACGTAATTCAGCCTTTTGTACAATTCTTTGTATTATTAGGCTGCAATGTTGTTATGGGTTCACCACACCACGAAGTGGTGGTGAACCCATATTGCTTTTTCTGATGTTTCTTCTCCTTCTCCTTCTTCTTCTTCTTCTTCTCCTGCCATTTTTTAAATGGATTCATCTTCTTCATTTTAGGGCCTAAGGTCCTGAAATTTGGTATGGAGGTACAGTGGGCAAATACCCCTAGGCGTTTTTAAATTTTTGTGATACAGGCTTTTAGAATGGTTTTATTTGAGTTTTTTGGCTGTGTTATAGCAAATGTATTACTGTGTTAGTGTGCCGTGTTTACCACGTCTGGGCATGAGTCATCACAATGGAATGCAGGGCATCAACCAATAGGCATGCAGCTTTCCTCTATACTTCTTGCTGATTGGCTGTTGGGATTTAACTTGATTAACACCTGCACAGAGCATTTCCACCTGCACAGAGCATTTCTTGCTGATTGGCTGTTGGGATTTAACTTGATTAACACCTGCACAGAGCATTTCCATACTGACAGTATGTCTTTATTCAAGTGTTTTGGTAGGTATTTCAAGCTTTTCTGCTCCAGCATTGGAATGCGGGGCATGAACGTTTTTTTTTTATTTTGAAAATCAACAGTTTGCATTATGCAATTAAAAATCCTAACCAATAAAGTAGGGAATAGCTATCCAACTGTTGTTTTAGTTGTATGTTACTTCATATTATAGTTATATCAATGTAAATCATTGTTTTCCCTTGTGTTTCTCATTCTTTCCCTGCCATGTCGTAAAATGTGGTGAACCCATCGCTGTATTTGCTCCAAAGCAAATATTGGCCTTTCTAGTTTTAGCTTTATGTCAATTTGCAAATAAACCATTTAACATACCTAAACCCACGTTCAGGTCCAGGCCCGGATTCGATGGAAATGGGGCATCCGTACTGCAAAATTTTGTAGCGAGCACTGCACTACCAGGGTTTAGAAGCAAGATATGTTGTTTGTGGGGCACGTCTGGGCAAAACTGCGACCACATAATTTGCAGAGGCAGACACTTGACAATGCCCAATGTTTTCTTCCTTTTGCAGCACAAATTTTTGCCAATTGAAGATTTCAGGTGGTTCAGAACAAAAAGGGGAATGATTTTTTTCTTGTAAGTCTGCAACGGCTTGTTATGGTACTGCAGCAGAACTTCCGGCTTTGATATCTTGAGTCTAGTTTATTTCAAAGGTGATATTAACTCTTTCCTCCTCAGGGCATTGGAGCTGGAGTATCCTCGTCTTCATCAGCTGCACCTGCATCCACGGTAGGAAACTATGATAATAGACTGATCCTGACATCATAATCTAATTAGCAGTTCGACCAATGATAGCAAGGCAGTTAGCAGTTGAACCAATGAAAGAGTGGTGGCTGCATGTCCATCAAACATTCTCATTTTTATGCTTTTTTCAGGGAGGTGGGTGGCGCAATGGGATTGGCCTATTGGGGTGGTGTTTGTGTTTTAAACTGACAGGCATGTTTAACTTGAAATGATTTCAAGATATGTAGAACCTAATGTTGATTTGGATATTTATTTGTTCAGATTGCTGTGAAGAAGGCAGGGGAAGGGTCATCGTCGTCTGCCGAGGCCAAACCTGCAGCAGACATCAGCCACCTTGTCAGGAAGAAGGTTTGTGGCACTTCTTTGTGATGATTTCCTTTACTGCAAACTTGAAGATAACAGACTATAGCAAGTCCTTGTCACATACATCATCTGAGCAAGTTGACGAGCAAACACAACGATAGCAAGTTGAGGACATTTTTGATGCAGTTGTAGTTATGTAATGCAAAATGTTACATTTCTGTAAATTGTAAGTTTATGAACTGAGTTATGGAAAAAAGTAATCCCATAGCCTTTTTGTGGCCATAGGGGCAGTACACATGTACATGTAGGTTGTTAATCCACAGTGTCTAGAACACGGTATTTGGAAGCCGTAGCCCATCTCTCTTAGCCTGGGTGCCATCCTATTTGTACACCTGGGCTCCCATACTTGCCCCCTTAAAAATAGGGATACTTCCACCACCTCTTACCTCCCAATCAAAGTCGGGTACCCATTTTACACCTGGTTGAAGTAAACATTCCCAAGGACACAACTGTTTCCTGGCCGTCCTTGGAAATTAGGTCTTGCAGCTGTAGGAGCTACCCAGGTTTCTTCAAGATGAAATAAATAGCCCGGAATGCAAGGAGTCGAACCCTTGACCTCTTGATCTCACGCCGACTTGTCTTAGCCACTTAAACATTGGATGAGGCTAGTTAGTAATAATAATAATAATAATAATAGATGGTTTATTAAAAGTAGTTTGCAGCCACCGGGCTGAATTGCATACCTTGTACAATTGCTAAAAAATCTTAAATTACAAACTAACAGTACTCATTGAAACTCAATATAGAAACTCATTAACACAATATAGAAACTCATTAACACAATATAGAAACTCATTAACACAATATAGAAGACTTACTATTAATTTCGTCATAGTTTGCGTTAACACATTTACACAAATATACGTGGCTAGCATTAACTACATTAACCCATTGGCAAGATTCACCATTTTCGCAAGTTCACAGTTCTGTATAGGTATTAGTGTTCATTCAAAAGTCTGGTCATGTACGGGATGGGGCTGTTGTAATATCTACTTGTTCTAGTTTTGATAGGGTTCAGCAGGTGCTTAGATCTAGTGTCTCTGGTACTTATGTCGCCACGCAAAGGTGGGAGCCAAGTTCTGTAAGTCTCAGAGTCAAGCATCCTTCTGGCGAAGTTGTAAGACAGAGTACGACGTCTGGCTTCAAGTGTGGGCAAGTCAAGTTTGCGGCATGCTTCTGCGTACGATGTGTATGAAATGGTATTATCTGAGACCTACTCTAAGAAAACCCACCTTATCCCTGTGTGTATAACAGAGGAAGCCATCTGACGAGGAGAAAGCAGACAGCAGCAGTGATGCCAAGAAGCCCCGACAGGAGAACGGCGCCGGTGACAAGGCAGAGGTGAACGGGACCGCCGTCAACGGAACAGCCGTCAACGGTGCGGCCACGAACGGCGCCGCCGGAACCAGCAGCACGGAGACCTCACCAGAGAAGGACAAACAACAGGCTGTGAGTTCTGGAATCTTTTCTAGGAGTTTTCAATGGATTTGTGCCTGTCTAACTGAAGAGTAGGACTTCTTGTTTAGATAGCCTTCTCATGACAAACATAAGGGCCTTCCAGGAAAGAGACTGACTTGTGAAGGATTCCTTCTTGTCTTCACAATAGAAAATGGTCCATTTTCACAGAATTTAATCTCAACGTTGGCAGCAAGTGCAGACAGATGATTTGATAACTGTAATGACAGAAGTGACAGTGAAAGCAGTGAACATGAAAGTATCGTGAAAAAAATCAGGAATTACATTATAATCTATTGCTTAAGTATTGAGATATAATGATATAGTCAAGGATTTTTTTTATTTTCTTTAAATATGGCTGGCAAGTTGAAACTTTTTTCATCTTAAAAATATTTCTCTTTGCAGAAGATCACCCCTAAGACTGTCGAGGACCTGAAGAAGGACCAGGAATCCAAGAAAGACCAGGACACTGAGACTGCTGCCATGGAGATGACTTCATCATAGGTTACCATGGAGACGACCTCATCCTAGGTTACCATGGTGATGACCTGTTCTACTACTCTGGACATGACCACATGCAAAGGCAAAGGAGTGAAAGAAAACAAGAACACCTTGACACAAAATGGCAATATGTTGTCATTAAACACAGATGTTCTAAATAAACAAAGAGGTGCTTTTAGTTTTCTGACAGGAATTAAACCATCCATTTAAACTACTTTTCGAAGCATTTCAGTACTTACTCATAGATAAACCTTGTAGAGGAAATATTTCAACAGGCGTTTGTAATGTTCTGTTGATATGACTGTGAACTAAACATACAAACCTCTTTAAATGTGTCGGTCTTTCCATGTGCGTTCCAAAGATCAAGATGTGTTCATAAAAGACAGGTTTTGCTTCCAAAGTTCTCTCTTCAGGACATGCCATGTACTCTTTTCTTACATTGTCCCCCTTACCAAAAGATGTTCCAGGATAGAAGTAACTGTCTTGGCCATGTACAGATATCAAGCTGTTCTGTGTATAAAATTCCGTCTGTCTTGAACACGTATTCCAACTCTGGTGCTGGTCAGACTTCCACTGTGGGTTTATACTGTATAAAATCCTATATTTCTATATTCCAAAACTAGCTGTTTGCTTATACAGTGTATCATGAATGTATGTGTTGTACTACTAATAAGATAAAGATCTAGAGCCTCCGCTGCCAAAAAAGACGGGGTACTAGCTGATATACTGTCCCCGTCTTCTATAGATTTAGAATGGTCTTTACACTATTACAGCTGTTCCAATCTGTCCTTCACTCACTCACTATCCGTGTAATGTGTGCACTTGCATTATAGGTGACTCAGACTGCACGTACAAATGTATTCTGTCGAATTCCGAACTTACATCCGTCACATTTGGATAATTTCCACAGATAGATCTTGGTTATTTTGTTGATCTTGTGCGGCTTTTTCTGCTTCTACTGGTCAACCATTAGAAAAAGCACACGTCTAGGACGGCAGAAAAGGCCACAAAGATGACAACAAAATAACTCTTACCTATAATTCCTCTGCTGGGAGATGAACATTTGGACAGAGATGTCTATGTTGTATGTTATCGTACATGTACTATTAGGTCTTGTGATCAGTCTAGAATCAGATCTTCCATAACAGCTTTCTAACTTTTGAACATTTATGTCCCTGCTTACTTGTATGACCAACAGAGCCATTTAAGAATACAGGTTTTCTACTTTTCCAAGAAATAAATGAACGCGAAATTTGGAAGGGACCAAAATTTGCAAATCCAGATATGTCATTTTTCTACATTTTATATGTGTTAAAGGTGTTGAGTATTTCATCAGAGAAATTTATACGCTAGTGTACACATAGTCAAGACATTCAAAATGTGAACAAGTTTCATCAAAGTCTTTGATATTAAGTGACTGATTTGGAGAAGTGAGACATTAAAGCATACATGTATAAGCAGACGTGTTGTACTTTATTCCTTTTTCAAATAATAAAGACTTTGGTAATGGTACTGAAATCACTATTAGATAAAAATGGTGTATAAATATATTATGTAGTTAAGCTACTTGACTCTGGTATAGATGCAAGTAAAAAGAGGATCTGTGAAGAATTTCACCAGGTTGGCAAGACACAATGAGATGCTTCTTTATTCAACAAGCAATGAGTTTTTGCATCAAACATTTCATTGACTGTCACCTTCAGGGCAACAATGACAGGTTATTTGTACAGCAGCTAGGTGTGGCTGTAATATAAATGTATATTAGGCCACACCAATTTAATTTCTTGGTTAACGGATTTTTCTACAAAAATAATGGAGCAGGCGGGCAAAAACAAATAAAAACAGGCCTAGGCATCCTATTATGGCCCAAAATGATTACAGGAGCCATGAAGTCAACACACCAGGCTGGTTCAAAATTTAAACAATGAATTTTGAACTTTTAATGATACCATTGCATTGAAAGATGGAATAACTATAGCAAATAGGATGAAGGACTGTTCTCAACTGTTCTGGGCAAAATATGAGCATTTTGCAGTTGATTCTGAATTTTTATTTTTATTTGCAAATCAGAAAAAAATGAAGCAGGCGGATCCGTTAACCAAGAAATTAAATTGGTGTGGCCTAACCTAAGAGTAAGAACAGTCAAGAAACCCTAATAGCCTAGGCTGCTTCCAGAGAAGAAGACAGTGGAACAAAGTAAAGAAAGACAGAGGCTGTTTCCACAACTCTGCAGGACACGGTGCAACATAATCAACAATTAGGGCTGCGTACCAGTCCAGGTAGACCAGTATGGACCGGAAAAATAGTTTTGTCCGGTCTGAAAAAACCGAAATTCGGTGGACCGGAACAAAAATTCATACTTGATCACTACACACAATTAAGGAGGCCTGCCAGGAAAATGAACATCCAGCATTAAAATAAAGAGATTTACCTTAGTTGTCCCACGGTTCAGTAAGTGTGGGTCACTAAGAGGGTGACTGAGAACTAGTGAGAACTGAGATAGGAAACTTAGTTATATCATCCATGGTTATATATGATGTTCTTTGAAAGATACAGGACAAATTGTCAACACTTTATTATTTCATGTTTCTGTCATTATTGAAGAATTTCAGTAGAACATATGACGCGCGTGAATTTTCAGGTACAGGTACAGGTCCGGACCTGGACCTAAACCTCTGTACCTGTACCTGTACCTGACGTTACGAAAAGGTACGCAGCCCTATCAACAATGTAATGTCGTATTTCTCCGGTAATGCCTGTGAGAGGCTATGTACGTGTTTGCTGATTGGAGAGACATAACATACATGATACAACACTTGAAACTACATTGTACCAAGGTGACGGGCCTGAGTCAACTTGAAACTTAGATTTTGCTAGTTTTTCCCCATCATCTCTCTTCCTGTATCATAAGTCTTCAGACTCGAATTTCAGGTCGTCCATATGCTCACATATTCTGGTCACTGACTGCTGCAACCTGGGAAAAACAAGTGGACATGAGTAGTACTTTAAACTTAAAGACAACCTGCCTTGCACTCAAGCTAGATACACATCTTGCACAAGTAGAATAACATCAAGACATCAAGATAATAATTTATTTTTATGGGTTCACCACACCACGAAGTGGTGGTGAACCCATATTGCTTTTTCTGATGTTTCTTCTCCTCCTTCTCCTCCTTCTTCTCCTGCCATTTTTTAAATGGATTCAGCTTCTTCATTTTAGGGCCTAAGGTCCTGAAATTTGGTATGGAGGTACAGTGGGCAAATACCCCTAGGCGTTTTTTAAATTTTTGTGATACAGGCTTTTAGAATGGTTTTATTTGAGTTTTTTGGCTGTGTTATATCAAATGTATTACTGTGTTAGTGTGCCGTGTTTACCATGAGTCATCACAATGGAATGCAGGGCATCAACCAATAGGCATGCAGCTTTCCTCTATACTTCTTGCTGATTGGCTGTTGGGATTTAACTTGATTAACACCTGCACAGAGCATTTCCATACTGACAATATGTCTTTATTCAAGTGTTTTGGTAGGTATTTCAAGCTTTTCTGCTCCAGCATTGGAATGCGGGGCATGAACGTTTTTTATTTATTTTGAAAATCAACAGTTTGCATTATGCAATTAAAAATCCTAACCAATAAAGTAGGGAATAGCTATCCAACTGTTGTTTTAGTTGTATGTTACTTCATATTATAGTTATATCAATGTAAATCATTGTTTTCCCTTGTGTTTCTCATTCTTTCCCTGCCATGTCGTAAAATGTGGTGAACCCATCGCTGTATTTGCTCCAAAGCAAATATTGGCCTTTCTAGTATTTTAATATCTATTTTATTTTATTCACATGGATTTTTGAGCATTAGTTTATTTATTAGATAGGAAGCACTTGTTGTGGTTATGTGAATCTGCTGCTCATAAAACATATGTAAACATAGATGACATAAAATATAACATAAACATGAAAATGAAAGTGGCTGGCGCACCAATCTTCCAGTCAAATCTTCCAGTGTGATGAATATAGTTGAACACAATATCAAAGATACGGCAGTTAGTAGGGTATGGGAGGGAGGGGCTACCTGTAAGAAGTAGAGTGCATAATGTGGTGCCATTTGCGTTGAGTGGGTCGGAAGGGAGTATGTTATCAAGATGATAATTTCAAATGTTAATACAAAATGTGTAATGATACATGTAGCAATTTAGAAACTTAAAGATAGCTGGAGCTTGTTGGTATGGCTGTGTATGCATATTCAAACAAAATTGGTGGGAGAAGCACATACTACATAGTACATGTACATACAATTTTTTTTTTTGGGGGGGGGGGGTTACTGGTGTCCAGAAGAGCAGACTGATTTTGTAAGAAAGAGACTGACCTTTTCTTGACCTGTGTGACCTCCTCTTTGTAGTGGTCCACATCTCCATTGTCTATTTCTACCTGTCTGGCTACCTGGAACTCTGCTGTCTACAGGTGGAAAGAGCAGGGCAGGTATTACATGTTATGTCATACCTGGGCCGCGATAACGTTCAATACTGGTGTTCCGGCCCATGTGATAACTAGCGGTACTGCCCGGGCTTCTTTACGCCTACGGCCCGGGGCTTCCAAATGTTCCATAGAACGATTCAAACGCATTTCGCCCTAACCGCGTGCGCCGCTTAGGAAAATTCGAATACAAAATTCGGACGTTGGAATTGATGTTGCATTTTTGGGGTTTAGGGACACCGAATTTTCGCTCATTTCGCATTGAAAGGCGTGTTTTCTTGTGTGGGTATGACATAAATAAAATACAACACGATGTATTCCGCATCACCCTCAGTCCCAGCCCTCCCGCGGATCGGATCTCCCTTCGGCCGTCGGGCAATCCGACGCGCGGTCCGGCTGATACCTCGGGCGATACGGAATACCCTGTGTTGTATTCTATAGTTATATGATATGTGGCGCACAACATCAGCTAACTTTGCTGCCTAGAGCTCCACTGTGTACCGCTGTTGTACTTTTAAAGGACACTGACAGTTGACTCAGAAGCCACATGAGGTCACACCACCTATGTGAACGGACACTAACATTCATCTTTGACAATGAAGGACTACCCAGAGGAGGAAGGTGAGAGAGAGACAGTTGACATTTGACACTCAAGTACAATGTAAGTACAATGTATAAACAAACCATGTTGTTGCAACCTTATGGCAACAGTGAATAACAAAATGTACTGTGAATTAATGAGGGCCTGCAAGGGGGGGGGTCCCGACGACGTTCTACGTTGAATTCGGAAACCTCTCGATTACGCTTTACGATAAATTCCAAGTGGCTACAACGCATTATGTAGCATTAAAACGCCAAATACGCTCTACGCAAAAATAGAGAGGTCCGTCTACGCTCTACGTAGAATTTAAACGGCCGATTACGCTCTACGGAAAAGGGCTTGCGGGCCCCCATTAATCTTTGTAATTGAGGGGTTGATCCCAATTGTTGCAGTTCAACCAAAGATAGATAGGGGTCCCACTGATCCATTGTTACCTCTATCATTCTGACACCATTTGTTGATTTTATTTATTAACAGGGTAACTCACAAAGCTAATGAGGGAAGTTATCTTACTAGCTGAAGTTTTTTCTTCTCCTCCTCCTGAATTTTCTCCAGTAGTTTGACCAGTTCTACCTGGTTATGGTCATCTCTGAGCCGATCCCTGATTGCAATGACATCACCTGAGATTCTCTGGAACTCCTAATAACATAACAGATAAAGTAAATACAGTGTACAAACACATCAATAAATTAAAAGCAGAAATACTACCATATACATATCCTATCATTATTGAATACACATACAACTAGAGTCCCACGATCTCATACCTTCGCCAAATGATGTTAATCTTTATGACAAAGTAAAGATTATTCCTCCTGATTATGCAAATAGGATCCTCATTTGCATGAATTATATCAGTTGATTTACTTGATTATATTCTCCATCAAAAGACAACCTTATCTTAACAAAGAAAGCCATTCTATCATTTCGTCATAAATTATGCAAATGAGGACCTTATTTAAATAAGTTATGTTTAATGATGTTCACCTTCACTTAACTTTCAAATACCCAAAGTATGAAATTCCAGGCAGTTACTATTATGGAATTATACTATTTTCTCATTAATTATGCAAATTAAGTGTTAATTTACATAATCAATATCTGCCTGTGTTTCTCTTGTTCTCAATTACATATGTCACAAGCTTGAATAACCCTATAATGTAATGCAGCTGATTTATAGAATTTCCTCATTAATTATGCAAATTACATCCATATTTGCATAATTGTCACATAATTATGTCAAGCGTCACTTAAGCTACCTACATACCAAAAATCATGAAGATCCGTCCACCGGTTCTTGAGTTATCCTCTTATGAATATTTTCAAAGAAATGCCCCTGCAGTTCCTGAGCAAGCCGCTAGGGGGCCCAAACCTATGTTACTTCTTCCCCAGCACAAGACCTACCTACCATCCAAATTTCGTGACCCCAGCGCATCCAGATCACGAGATATCAAAACCGGAAGTTCAGCTGCAGTACCATAAGAAGCCACTAGGGGGCCCAAAATCTAATCATTTCGAGGTCTCATCAAGACCTACCCACCTACTAAATATGAAGTCAATCCATTTAAGCCTTCTCAAGTTATCGTGTTTACAGACAGACAGACAGACAGACACACACACACACGAACGCCTACGAAAACATAACCTTCTTGGCGAAGGTAATTTAGCATTTTTACCTCCATGAAAAATGGAGGTATTGTTTTTGGCGTGTCTGTCTGTATGTATGTATGTATGTATGTATGTCTGTCTGTGTGTCTGTGTGTCTGTCTGTCTGTGTTTCCTCAACTTTGTGGTCAGCATAACTTCAGAACGCCTTTATGGATTATGATGATATTTGGTATGTTGGTAAGTCTTAGGAAGACAAACGTCAAGGTCAAATATGGGCCTCCTGGTGGATGACCTTGGTACTGCAGCAGAACTTCCGGTTTTTGTATCTTTTGTCCTGAACATGCTATGGTCTTGAATTTTTGGTGACAGATTGCTTTTTCTGTCAGGAATAAGTGGTGTGAGTTTGGTCCCCCTAGCAGCTTGTTCTGGAACTGCAGGGCACTTTCTGGCGAAATGTTTAAAAGCCAATAAGTCAAGATAAGAACAACAAATTTTCATAATTTTTGGTGTGTAGGTAGCTGAGAGAGAGATGTACATGATTAAATGCAAATTATGCAAATGAGGACTTTATTTGCATAATTAATGAGGAAATTCTATAATTACAGTGTTTTACATTATACTACTTTCATGCATGTAATGTATGTAACCTATGGCAGGCAGAACATCAACAGATACTAATTATGCAAATGATGACCTAATTTGCATAATTTATGCAAAAATTCTATGATTTCTTAATGGTGAATGATGGGAATGTCATACTTGGGACATCTGTAAGTTAATCAAAAGTTCACATACATCACGATGCATATATCATGTTAATGCAGATGTAATTTGCATAATTAAAGAGGAAATTTACATTTACATATCAAGCCCACATTTCATGGAGGTATGAAATCTCGGAATTCTTGTTGTAAAATGTAACCCAACTTGAATACACCTCATTCAATTACAATGATTTACTAATTAATTTTCCTAATCATTGTTTGTAGATGCCATCAAATTTAGGAAATATTCTCTAGACAATATGAGGATAAGTACTAAGTATGTGTAAATCCCAAAGACATTTTAAATGGTAGAAATTGATACTGATTTCAAAAACTCCAATGACATATCTACAGAACTTACCTGAGTGACATCATGTACAAGCTGCCGATATGGTGCAAAGTCATAATTAGGTGATGTGTTCAGGTAAGTCTCAAAACCCCTGTATATGGGAGAAACATGTTTTAATTTACATGTCATTCTGGCAGATACGCTGTGTATTAAAGGTACAAACATGTATGTGCAAAGCAAGCCTAGTATGAAGATTACAAAGTATTAAGTAACTGCATAAATACTCACAACTATTACTACAACTATTCGTAATACATTTTGTACATGAAGCTAAAATAAAATGTGAAAGATTATAAGAAAATCTTATGAAATGACAAAAAGTTCTAAGGAAAATTGCTGATGTGTAATATACATGTATAAAGAAATTGCTGCAATGTGGCATAGCTCCATCACAGCAGAAGAGTTAATACATGAAGAATTTGGCAAATTGATAACCAAGATTTTATTGAGATTTACTCACTCCTCAAACCTGCGGTAAACTTTAATCCTTTCCTCTTGTAGTCCATAGAACTTACGGATCAACTGATGACACTCTGATCCCTGGGGCGAACATTTCATAAATTATATATTAGCTGAATTGATGCAGGGTATCAAAATAATAATCAATACAGACTGTACATGTACATAACAAGAGTTCCACGATCTCATACCTTCACCAATTGATATTAACCCTTGTGGTTGAAGAATTGTACAATTTTAATCATTGATTTTGCAAATAAGAGCCTCATTTGCATGGGTTATATCAGTTGATCATATTCTCCACCCAATGACAGTCTCATCTTAACAAAAAAGCTATTATAGCACTTCAACATAAATTATGCAAATGAGGTCATGATTGGAATAAATTATGTTCGCCTTCAATGTGGAAAGTATGAAATTCCCAGCAGTTACAACTATGAAATTATAAAAATTTCCCATTAATTATGCAAATTAGGTCTTCATTTACATAATCTATATCCTCAGATGTTTTTTTTTAATTCTCAATTACATGCCACAATTGTTTCATAGTCCTATTATCTAACAAAGCAGATTTATAGAATTTCCTCATTAATTAAGCAAATTAGCTCCTGATTTGCATAATTTTCATTTTATTATGTCAAGCATCCCTTCAGCTACCTACATACCGAAAATCACGACAATCCGTCAACCGGTTCTTGAGTTATCATCCTTCAAAAATTTTTCAACAAATGCTCCTACAGTTCCAGAACAAGCCGCTAGGGGGCCCAAACTCATGTCACTTATTCCCTACCTCAAGAGCTATTTACAAGATACAAGATCTCTTTATTGGAAATCGCAGTGTTGCCACTGAATTCAACTCTTACCTTACTGAATTCAACACATTACCAACCAAAATTCGTGACCCTAGCATGTCCAGATCGCGAGATATCAAAACCGGAAGTTCTGCTGCAGTACCAACAAAAGCCGCCAGGGGGCCCAAAATCTAATCATTTCTAGGTCTCATCAAGACCTACCCACCTACCAAGTTTCATGACAATGCATACTATTATTAAAGCTTCTTGAGTTATGCTGTTCACAAACAGACAAACAAACGCTACTAAAAACATAACCTTCTTGGCGAAGGTAATAAACCATGCATGGAAGTGTTCAATTCTAGCTCCATGGATAAACATTGCAGAGTTACACAGCATTTTTGCATTTGGTTGACTTGTAGCTCATATAACGTTGCTGCATTACCAATTCTGTATCTCAAAGAGTCTGCACACAACAAGAAAGTTTTCTTACCATTTTTATCGACTGGGATGCCTTTTTCTGCTAAAAAAACAAGATCAAATTCACAGAGAACAAAATTTAGAGAACACATGTACCCAAACCCGGAAGTGAGTTCTTGGGATAGTTCACTCAGTTATCAGGGTTGACAACAACAAAGTATATTTTTGTAAGCCACACGACGTCTGTTTAAATACAATTGTTTCGATCAGATTTTTTGCATTGTTTAGTCAAATATATGTAAAATGATAAGTCTTTTAACAAAAATGTAAGTGCGAAGAAAAGGTTGAAGAGTTCAGTTTTTTTTAGAAAAGTTTGATTTCCCCCTGTATGATTGGTATCGTCTGCGCGATGCGTGGTGGGAAGTAAACAACATGGCGCATGTTTACGGTTGGACTTAGTCCAAGTTTGTCGGACTCTTGGCGATCTTTACCGCCGGTTCACAGCCGAAATGTCGGGATTTAGCTAGTCATCTTTCTCACAAAGGTTCAGGTAAGCCCATAGATGTTCTCAGGTGTTACTTGTCGCTTTAAATCCCTCTGTATTTGTAGAAATCGGGGTCAGTTTTAATTGTTTGTACACACGCGTGCACGCGTTGCTTGGTTAGTAATTATATTATCTAGGTCATGCGGACAGACGTCGATTTTCTTCCATTTTTGCAAATATCTGCAGATCAGATAATAACAATTTTTTTCAATATGTAAAGTTTTGAGTGCATACTGTAGCTGTTGAGAGTGTAGAGTGTTCGTGGACTAGAAGTAGGTTAATCGTCAGATGTCAGTTTGAAGACAGACAGTGCCCTCTCTTCGCGGGGGGTCAGGTGAGTGCAGGTACCCGGCAGAGTGACTGTTAGCCAGGTGTGTGTGGCGCACGTGGCGTTGTTGTGGCAATCTAGCGCTGTTTGTTGACAAAACTGCACGGAATGCACTGATCCGTTATCTTCTAATCTTGGAAACAACGAAGATCTTTGTTGTCAATGTCAGTCATAGACTTTTGCCTACTCTGTATTTCTCAACGTATTAGACCCAGCACCAAACCCAGTGTTGTTCAAGCTTTGAACAACAACAAAGATTACTAGTACAGGTACTAGTAAGTAGAAATGCAGGAAACACAAAATTGACAGTTATATGACTCAGGTATGTTGGAATGTACCTATCTGCTTGAGGCCATAATTGCATGTAAACATCATAAACTTTATGGTGTATCTTACAGTTATTGCATGGCTTATATATCACATGTAATCTTATAGCTCAACTATAATCCACTCCCAACAGTCGCTATGTCTAAAATGTATGAAAAGCTTTTATATGTCATTGCATTTGAATAGAATTAACTTGTCTTTAAAGACTGAGTTATTTAGGTCAAAATAACAATTTGTTTTGGGAAAAGGCACCGGTTTTAATAATGACTGGTGTAGCATGCTTGTTTGTTCAGGGGTTGTTCCAGTGTTGGCTTTGTTTGCGCGCGGTCGGCTGAAGTGTTTGAAGGTGGGCACGCTAACGTTTCCACGGTTTCTCGCCTCGGGCTGTCATTAGTTCCGCTATTGTGTTGCTAATGCTATTTTCAGTCAGCGGTGCCTAATTTTCGTGGCTCTGTAACAATCACAAGTTTGAAGTCATTCTTTTGAGATTACGTGTAGTTGAATTGAATGTTCAAATGTTTATTAGATATTCAGTCATCATTATTAGGACCTCATAAAGTACTATTGTCGTGGAATTGATTACAAAATTATCATAGTCACATGGTCTTAGTACCGTCTTACCATAATTTGTCTATGATAACAGCTATCATATAACACCTGCTCACTGTAACTTACAACATTTGCATGCTGTCAGCAGCTGCAGTACGGCTATTGTCTGTTCAGCAGGTAAACATACATCTGATGAGTTGATTATAGTTTTAGGGGTTTTCAGGTAATTGTTTATCTTGAAATGTTATCGATCATCATGAGCTTATCTTTTATTGTTTCAAAGGCAAGGTTTGTATGGTTTATAATTTATATGAATTTATCCTGAGGATTATCTTGAATCAGACACATTTATCTAGTGCTCAGACAATTAGAACCGTACTTGTTTTAACCTTCAGCACCCTGAAGTAGCCCTTTGACTACCATTTACAATGTATTTACATGTATGTACTAGTAGGTTGCAGGGCAGAAAAGAGAAGGATAACTTTCAATGGTTTAGTTTTTATAGAACTACATTTCATTTGATTGGAATTTTCAAGAGACAAGTGAGTCTAAGTACATACTTGTAGCTCTGCATCAATATGCAATTTATATACGTAGATGAGTTACAATAGTTACTATACATAATTTCAAACACATTTGTCTACCATTACAGAGCCTGGATTCAGTAAAATGGCGCTGGGTGACCACAAGGCAGAGTCCGAGACGCAGGAGAATGGCCACGTGAATGGCGAGCTGTCCCCAGGCCCGAACAACTTCTCCGTCCCTCCGCGTGAGCGGCCCATGGTCCACCGCGCCGCAGACGCGCCCCTGTGTGAGAGATGTCGGGACTTGGAGCTGACGTTTTTTGACCCAGACTGCCCTGGGTGTCAGCTGCTCCTACAGGACATGGATCTGTCCATCAGCCAGATATTCGCCATCATCAGACAGTGGGTGCCGCAGGTGCAGCGCAGGATAGATGTACTTGGAGAGGAGGTTTGTCGTTTGTTTATGATCATGAAGTATTGAGAGACAATCCCATTGGTAGAAATACTTTTTTTTTCAGTGTTCTGCAATACTGCAGAATGTCACTTTTTTTCTGCAATTCAGAAATACTTTCTGCAAATACAAATTTAAAGTTAAAGTATGGATCTAAACATGGCACATACAAAATTGCATGTTGGCAAACACTTTACATGCAGTCTGAAAAATACATGCAAAATTACTTGTATTAGAGTCAGTAGTAAACACAAAAGCTCCATTAAACCCCTATCCTGATTATTCAGCCTACAAAATTACAGGTTCCTTTATAATATTTTTCTTCTGCAATATTGAAAATGCAGACTGCAGGTGGGTCTTTCTAGCACTGCAATGCTCACCTCACCTATCCCTTGACCTCAAGAGGGTCATTGGGGCACCATGACTTTATCCACTATTCACGAGTTGTACATTCCCAGGATCCTTTGCGCACAGGGTAGGGAAAGGTCGCGGTAAACCACGTGAATCATCCTCGGCTCTGGTCGGAAGAAGTCGGAAGTGTTCGCGAGCACTCGGAAATTTAAAAAATGGCTGACACCACTGCCGGCGGCGGGAGGCACGTAGTTTTTCACGGCGTTTGTACGGCAAAGCGGCATCAAATTTTTGCTCCATGACTATCGGTATGGGATAGGATAGGGTTGATTCAACATACTACGTGAAAATGTGACAAAAAGACAGACTTTTGAAATTGAATGCTCCCAGCCTACTATCGGCCAGATATCGCTTAGGGCACCTTCTTCCGACCAGAGCCGAGGATGAGTCACGTGGTTTACCGCTACCTTTCCCTACCCTGTGCGCAAAGGATCCTGGGAATGTGCAACTCGTGAATTCTCCTCCATTTAACCCTGTCCTCTGCCAATCTCATGTTTTCAGCTAAACTTAAGCCAGTTCACCGTCTCTTTTATGTTGTCTTGCAACCTCTTACTAGATTCCTATACCCCAGTACCCCTTTTCAGCTGTTTTGGCTTTTTGAGAGACAACAACAAAGACTAAATATAGATCGAGACTCATCAAGCTACATCCAATTTACTAGTACACATAATAATATGCTTGGAAGGTCAACTTAAAAACAATGTCTGAGGAGAAAGGGCTGTAGTAATTTATATTACACAATTTCAGGAGGTGAACAGAATGTACTACTTATTCAGACGTGAGTCTTTCTTCCAGCCCTCTGACTTTTCACCCTGATCTCCTGTTGGTCAAAGTCAAGTTGTTCTAAGCAACAGGCTTTGAAGACTTTTTTTGTCTATTACAATTTACATTCCAGATGAACTAGTTAGTGTAGCACATTTAACTCCAGTAGTATTGACTTGTATTTTTATGGTAAGGCCACACCAATTTAATTTGTTGGTTAACGGATTTTTCTAGAAAAATAATGAAGCGGGAGGGCGAAAAAAAAATAAAAATAAAAACAGGCCTAGGCATCCTATTATGGCCCAAAATGGTACGATAGGAACCATGAAGTCAACACACCAGGCTGGTTCAAAATTTAAACAATGAATTTTGAACTTTTAATGATACCATTGCATTGAAAGATGGAATAATTGTAACAACTATTATGAAAAGGACTGTTTTCAACTGTTCAGGGCAAAATACGAGCATTTTACAGTTGATTCTGAATTTTTATTTTTATTTGCAAATCAGAAAAAAAATGAAGCGGGCGAATCCGTTAACCAAGAAATTAAATTGGTGTGGCCTAAAGTAATGAATTAATTTTTGAATATTTTGTCAGATCTTGAGAAGAGGTGCTCATGTGAATGACCGTGATGGGTTGACAGACATGACACTACTCCAGTACGCCTGCAAGGCAGGTGCAACCGGCATCGGCAGTGTGGAAGCAGGTAAGTTTTAGAACCAACTCTATTAACATCTGTGTCCATAATATCACCAGGGTCCATAATATCGCCACATTGAGAAATAGTGTGCTTTAAGATATTTTTACTGCAACATACTTTTGGTATGCACTCCTGCACACCTCAAATGTACATACCTAGGGTATGTTGCAGTAAAAATATCTTTAAGCACACTGTTTCTCAAGGTGGCGATATTATGGACCCTGGTGATATTATGGACACGGATGTTACATGTATGTGAATTTTCTTCTTTTTAATATCTATATCTGTATAGCCAGTACCACACTTCTGGGTAACACATCTTTGCAGACACTGAGCATGGCGGCAGCTGGCTACATTACACCGAACGACTTGTTACACCTAATCCTTGAAAATTTTACCCTAAACATCTAAAACTATCTAAATTCTAATGACAATGCCCCTACTGTATTTGGTGACAGTGAGTTCTGCTTTGCGATAGTTCTAGGAAAGAATCTATTCAAAAGAAAATTCTTAGATAAGCATATACCATGCAATTATGTATTATGTATAATGTATCTGATAATTTTGGGATTGAATGTGCTGTGCACTTAAGCGAGGGGAATTGATGTGACATTATATTGAACCGAAAATCATCGATATACGATGTTAAGACCAGGTTCACTTTGCACTGATTAGAAAAAAAAGCATTAATACAATTGTAAAAGATGAAAATAGATATACTAGCATACTGCAAATCAGATTTATAATCTAGAATTATAGCAGAAAAAGACCATGGAGAATTTCAAAATGCGTGAAAAAACTCTGGATGGAGTTCTAAAAAAATTATCAATACAGCGTAGATTCAAGAACATTTTTTATTCTGTGTTTCCAGCGACAAGACTGGCGGAACATGTGATCTCCAAGGGCGCAGACGTCAGAATCCGATCCAGATGGACCAACATGGCCGCCCTCCACTACGCAGCGTACTTCGATGTGGCTGTGCTGATCAGTATGCTGTTAAAAGCATCTGGTGGGAGAGGTAAGGACACTTCGTATACGAATCATATATAAAAAACTAGTAATGTTGTTCCATATGCACACTCAAAACCCACTGTACTAGTACAGAGGTTAAAACATGTAGTAATATATGTTTAAAGTTAAAACTTTTGGTCCAACACAAAAAATTCTCTCACCTAGAGCTAGAGGTCAGTCTACTGAGGAAGACCAGAGTGACTGGTCGAAAGCTAGGTGAGAGAATTTTTTGTGTTGGACCAAATGTTTAAACTTTAAACATGTAACTACCAACACAGATGAACTTTCATGATAGTATGTAGTAATATAGGTGAGAATGAAACCCACTGCAAGGTGTTTATGTTGTGCCTCACTCTGTTGAAGATGATTTTATGTTTTGGCCAGGAAGCTTTTAATTTCTCAAAACCAAGAGTTCCCTGAGTGGAAAAACCTGTTCAACCATTCTCTTCGGTGTGAGCTTTGCAAGAGCAATCACTATGACAGCCCTACCTTATATTTACAAGGTGTGAAACGTAGTCCTATCATTGTTATTACTGTCATAAGACATTACACATTCAAATTATTGGAACTGGAAAGAGAGCTGCTGTGTTTCTGGGAAAACCAAAGAATGGGGAACAGTATTGAACAAACCTGCTGGTGTGTTACGCCGAAAGGCGGTTATACCGGCTATACAGATACAGATACAGAACGTGAAGAGACCTGGCCATCATCATAATGATGTTTTGTAGCTGTAAGTCCCCCATGATTGACACCTGTTGGTAACACCTGTGTCAGGTGTGTGAGCATGGGGACAGTCTGGAGTAACATCCCTGCACACCTGATTCTACACTTCTTCTTTGAAAGCTCCGGTAACATTCACTCTCTCAATCCCATACTAGTATTTCTCTTAATTCAGTATTTTTCTTAATCTAGCATTCAGCTAATTTCTGACAAGAGTTTGTTACCTTGTCCAAGATGGTCATGTTTTTGTATGTAAACACGATAACTCAAGAAGGCTAGGATGGATTGTCTTGATACAAAAATGTATATGGAAGGTGTATGAGACCTCAAAATCATTAGATTTTGGACCCCATTTGCTACTTGTTTATGATGTTGTTGTTTAGTATATTATAATAAGTATTTGCAGACAACCATTGTAATATCAGAATTCTATCTCTTCTTGGAAAAAAACATTTCTCTTTTGCTGCAAAGCCTTTCAAAAAATTTTTGTCGGCCCCATTTTGTTTGAGGAAAATTTCTAACGCTGCTGGTAGAGTTGGTTGAGAGTGTGTGTGAACATAACAGGTGTCAACAACTGCTGTATTGACTTCCCAGTCGTTTCATAGTACAGGTGTTATCTACACCTGACTACAAAACAAACTAATTCTATACAACAGGTTGACCCCCGCTGTGCCCTCCTCTGCTCAAGAGTTGATTTTCGCCCTGTTGCTAGGCTTTATTGCAATTGTATGTTGTGGCCATGTTGCTTGTTTGAAAACCCGGCACTTGTCCGTTACAAACTTTTGTTCTGTACTGTACTTAGTATTTGCACCAATCAAACAAGGCGACCCACATGTGCATGGAACATCATGACTGCTTGTTTGTTTAGTGTGCTACCGTTGGATTAGAATGTTAAACCTTTGCAAACACATAATGTACACTACAATAAGGGCATTAGATGCTGTTTATGGTGGATTTAATCCAAAGAATGGGAAAATTAGGCCACACCAATGCAATATGTTGGTTCTCTGATTTTTTCAGAAAAAATATGAAGCGACAGGGAAAAAAAAAAGGAATAAAACCAGACCTAGGAATCCTTTGATAGCCCCAAATGCCATGATAGGAGAAATTATGTCAAAATATCAGGCTGGTTTGTAATCCAAACAGTGACTTTCAAACTCTTAATCAAACCACTGTATTGATAGATGGAAAAATTAAGTAAGTAAAGCAACTCTGAAGAGAAGGAACTTCTTTCAAGTGTTGGGGCTAAGATATGAGCGTAAGTTGATTCAGAGGCTGACATCTTTTTTTTTGGAAATCAGAAGAAAATGAAGCGGGCAAATCCGTGAACCAACAACTTGAATTGGTGTGGCATTAGAGAGTGTCTTCTTTGGCAGTTCAGTCTATTGTAGACCATCTAATGCATAGTTCGCACCTCTGGTGAGTTCTTTTGTGACTCGAAAGTCCAGCCTTGGTGTTGTTGAGAGTGTACAAATGTAGTTGAGCAAAAAAACGGTATATATTATGTAGCTCTTCCACCGCTGTTAGAATGCAAAATGTTTTCACAGTGTATTTGATTAAAACCACGACATATATTCCCAGTGCTTACTACAGCAGTCTTCTCTGTTACTTTGCTCAAGATGTAGATAACTTATGTCGAGAGTATGACAACGGGACCCCTCTGCACATCGCCACCACAAACCTCTGCTTCGAGGCTGCTCGCTGCCTCCTCCAACACGGCGCTGACCCAACGATAAAGGACGGCGCCGGCCGCACGCCGCTAGAATGCATCCCTGACACATCCGGCCTGGACGCCACGTCGGAAACCGCCATCGTTGCCACAAAAATGCGAATCCTGCTGAAGGATGCAGAGCCGCTGACCTCGCAGAAAAATGCCCCTCAGTACGACATGCCAAGCTACGAGACCGTCTCAGGGAAGGTGTTGCTGTCATCACGGGGACTGAAACTGGGGGAGCGAGTCATCATCGGGGGTGTAAAGGCAAGTGTGATTGTAGCATGGTGTTTTACAGTTGAAAATACACTGTAAGGCAACACCAATTTAATTTCTTGGTTAACGGATTTTTCTAGAAAAATAATGGAGCTGGCGGGCGAAAAAAAAAAAATAAAATAAAAACAGGCCTAGGCATTCTATTATGGCCCAAAATGGTACAATAGGAGCCATGAAGTCAACACACCAGGCCGGTTCAAAATTTAAACAATGAATTTTTAACTTTTAATGATACCATTGCATTTAAAGATGGAATAACTGTAACAACTAGGAAGAAAAGGGTTGTTTTTAACTGTTCAGGGCAAAATATGAGCATTTTGCAGTTGATTCTGAATTTTTATTTTTATTTGCAAGTCAGAAAAAAATGAAGCGGGCGAATCCGTTAACCAAGAAATTAAATTGGTGTGTCCTAATGTTGTGTAGAAAATTTTATTCAACTTGATGCATGTAATCTATGGAAGAGAATATGATCTTAGCTTTTGATACAAGCAAGGACTTGATACAAGCTGGCAAAAAGAATTTGAATCCCAGAACTTATTTCAATGGAAGGTGCATAAAAGGTCAACTATTCCATTCTAGTCTCTACCAGACGAGCAGTAGGGAAATCTGAAATGTTGTCAGTTGGAAACATCTACATGACATCAACATTACCAAAAGGGTCATTAATTTGGTCAGCCCAGGAAATTTTTGTCCACACACATTCACTTAGGCCACACCAAGTAAATTTTATGGATGACGTCCTTTGGAGACCCTAAATCTAATGCGAGAGGGCGAAAAAAAACAAGAAGGGGCTGGGCCCTAAAAAACAAGATGCCTAGATTAGAAATATTGCACTGCTGACAGGACCATCCTGTCTGTTAATAGTTCCAAAAACGGCACTGTTTTGGAACTATTGACAGGATTTTTTTCAGTGCCATATTTTTTTTTTTCATTTTTGTTTCGATTTTTTAACCAGGCACAGGCTTTCGGCGTTACGGGTTTCACATCAATCTGACGATTTGCGGCACTGTCGTGACTCTTTGGTCATACATGTAGTTACAGGAAGCGGAATTTCTTGTTTTTTTTTCTAGGAACACTTACAGGCCAAGATCAATGCGCACGCGGACGTCATCCATAAAATTTACTTGGTGTGGCCTTAACACAAATAACAGACTGTTAGTATTACATATACAATTGCATGTTACCGAGAAAATATGTACACATGTACTGGTATATGGCATGGCATTGTTTGGATTCAGTTGTCAACATTGGCAACAGAAAGATAATTTGGTACCACAGAAATGTACAGAATAAAGAGTTTCTCCCATTTATTGGCAGATGGGTACTCTCCGGTTCTGCGGCACCACAGAGTTTGCGTCAGGTGTTTGGGCGGGGATCGAGCTAGATGAGCCTGAAGGGAAAAATGACGGCAGCATCGGCGGGATCTACTACTTCAAATGTGCTCCTAAACACGGTTAGTCTTGTACTTCACTATTCAAAAGTCTAACATTGCTATGTCCTATGATATGCCTTTGCAATGGCCATGAAAGCTTACATCTTTATGTGCTGCAAAGAAGTAAATTCACATTTATGATAGAACTTTGAAGCTAAGTAACCTTTGAGGTTGGTTTGTATTGTATATCCATTAAGCTTCCTCATGCTGTAACTGTAACACACCAGATTTGTACATTCTTTACAAAATATTCTTTATAACCTTGAAACTGTGCAACATACACTCTTTGGCCTAAGCTTTGCCGCTGAGGGAGGGCCAAGCTTCAATGCATGACAAACATTTTACTTAAAGTTAGTTTTATATTTGTTTGCTACACGTGTCACACAATTCAGTTGAACACTGTTGGCGTCTGTGTGGTGTTACAGTAGTGGATAGAGCGTCCAACTGTCAAGCAAGAAGACCCAGGTTCAATCCCCAGGGTTGGACCCATACATGTCGGGACATGCACCCAGACATTGTGCCCTTGGGAGAGGCACTTAACACACATTTCTCCCCTCAGTTAGAGGGTTCCTGGGCCCTACTAGGGTTTGGGTTGGCATTAGGAAGAGCATCCAGCCGTAAAAATCTTGCTTCAAAAAAAGACTTGTACCAGGTGCAAGCACGTCTAACCCCTGGTTGGGTATAAATGACGTTAAATTCGGTTTTAAAAAAAACTGTTGTGTTGTATGTTTTCCTTCAGGTATTTTTGCCCCCCTGTCCAAGATCACCAAGTCTAACTCCCCTGCCACCACCCCCCGGGGCAGTCGTCCCTCCACCCCCCAGCGTCGCCGGCTCTCCGCACCCAAGATGGACTTCTCACACGTCACCGCAAGGGTAGAAACAGGTGGGGACACCAGAAATGATGAAACAATAAAGTCAATGTTAACTTTAGGACTGCCAATAATGTTATACCAAAAAACAAATTGAATGTTATGCTGAAAAAACAGACTTGGAGAGCTCTGGAGAAGCTTGGAGAAAGTGTAGTGTTCCATGATAACATAACAGATCAGCAACGTCAATTTGTCCATAGATAGTAGAGTGGCAAATGTACAATGTGTACATTAGACAATTCATGTTTGTATCAAAATGAACAGTTCGTTGCTGTACATGTAGTAATATTAAAATCAGTGTTATTTTAACATTTTTCATCTTTATTATGGATCAAATATGAAATTGTCCTCTTGCCTTGCCTTTTCTGCTGAATTAAAAACTATTCTATTGCCTCCAGGACTTCGGAAGAGGTCATCTAGCATGACCTCTGAACCGGGAGAGTTGGAGGTCGGAGATCGGGTCATCGTGGCAGGTCAAAGGACAGGGGTCATCAGGTTCAGTGGGAAGACAGACTTCGCTCCAGGTAAGGATGGGGGCTGGGATTGTTCCTTCATTACCTCCATGAAAAAATGGAGGTATTGTTTTTGGTGTGTCTGTGTGTACCATAGCCTTTTTGAGGCTGTAGGGACAATGGGTTGTTGACCCACTATGGCAGAGCCTATCCCTCTCCTTCCACTGCCTTTTACCTTCCCAACCAAACTCAGGCACCCATTTCATACCTGGGCGGAGTGAAGAAAGTCGTGTAAAGTACCTTTCCCAAGGACACAACAGTGGACACAAGGATCAAACCATAATCTTTCAATCTTGTGTCCACTAGCCTTAAGCCACTTGGCTATTTGATACCAGCCTTTACTTGTACGCCATGTCATATCACATTTTATCTATTACAATCGGATGTGGCTACAACAGTACAAGAAAAGACGTCAGTCTGAAGCTTTCCTATCATTTGATGTACATGTATGAAGAGTAATATAAGAATCTTCTTAACCAAACCCAAGAAAAATTTCTAGTATAGAGATTACTACTACCAGTACCGACAAAAATTGGCCTTGTTAATCTGATGGCATTTTGCATACATACACACATACGTACCTTTGTTTGCCCCAGGCTGGTGGTACGGTGTTGAGTTAGACAAACCCCGTGGGAAGAACGACGGCTCGGTGTCAGGAGTACGGTACTTCAGCTGTGAGCCCATGAAGGGGGTGTTCGCACCGCCCTCCAGAGTCACAAGGTAAGTCACAACAGTCAAGAAACACGGGAAAGGGTTGTCTGTAGTGGTGGACAGGCCCTAAGGTTGCAGGAATTTATGAATTGTGTGTGATCATAGGATGGCAGCATACAAGTTTCAATGTTTTCCAAATTGTCTTTCTTGGTACTTTTTGGTTAGAATGTAGAGTTTGTTGTTTACTTTTTCCAGTCATATTTATCATATTATCATATTTACAATCATATACCAATCATTGGATTTTTTTTGGGTTAAGTTTGTTTCATATTCTTCAGTTTTGTTTGGTTGCTTTTGTTTCCAGAGCCACTCCCTCTCGTATGGGGTCCATGGAGTCTTTGTCAAGTGTGGGGAGTGAGAGTAAGTAGTCAACGTCATCAAAATATGTATAATAAGGACACGCTCATTTTTTTCTTCAATTTCTGACAGATTGAAGAAGTTCCTCAGTCACATAAAATAAACAGTAGAATATTCATCAATCAGTGACGGTTTTGATAGGTAACAATGGTGTACCTCCAAATTTTTTACATCGACTGTATGTCTTGATCACGGAGTTACCTAGTCTCGCGAGAACACAAGACTAGATCGAGACTTGTGCCTGGAGGTACGTGATTGTTACCTTTCAAAACAGTCACTCATTGATGAATATTCTACTATCTACTAACTGACTGATTAAATTCTCATCTGTGAATCGTGCTGATTTTAACACAATGATATCTGAAATCTTTGATTGACAGTTTCGTCCGTCCACCGCACGGCCAGCAGCGCGTCATACAGCGGCCGCAGCCCGAGAAGAGACCGAGCCCTCCTACAGCGCAGGTCAGCAGCCATTGTTGTCTTATCACATGCACGTGTCTGTTGTTTGATTGGGATTTGTGGCGTCGGGTGTCCTAGTGGTAGATCATTCGACTGTGAACCGAGAGACCCGGGTTCGATCCCGAGTCGTACGCTGGACATGTCTGAACATGCACCCCGACGTTGTGCCCTTGGGAAAGGCACTTTACACGGCTTTCCTCACTCCACCCAGGTGTGAATGGGTACCTAACTTCGGTTGGGGAAAGTCATATTGAGGTCACCTTGTGGCGCCGAATGGCAGCCGCACAGACCCTTGCGGCAGTTCCACAAAAATGTGGAACAAATACATATGTATGTACCATGACATTGTGTATTATGTGTATTATTATGTGTATTATTACCATTTGTACAATGTATCATATATTATGATCGTAAACCCTGATTGCACAGGTGATGTTTGGCCAATAAAAATTTTATTATCATTGTTATTATTATTTCACGTGTTTCATAATCATTGTCACAGGAAAGTTAAATGTTGTATTTCAACAGCTAGAGCGCTGCTTAATTAACCAACTTTAATGCATTTTCTATATAGTAATAACCTTATAATAAACTTTATACATCATCATACAATGTACAATTGTGTTGCATGTTATCAAATAGTGGGTGGAAAGAGACAAAAATGTGTTTTAGGCCTGTGTATAGTGTAGTCAATGAAGAAACAAGCTGTAGGTGACAAAAATGTCAAAAAGTGACAAAAATGTCAAAAAGTGACAAAAATGTTAAAAAGTAACAAAAATGTTGAAAAGTATCAAAAATGTTGAAAAGTGACAAAAATGTTGAAAAGTGACAAAAATGTTGAAAAGTGACAATAATGTTGAAAAGTGACAAAAATGTTGAAAAGTGACAATAATGTTGAAATGTGTCAAAAATGTTGAAAGGTGACAAAAATCTTAAAACGTGACAAAAATGTAAAAAAAGCAATAACTTTGATTTTCCCCAGTGCCAAGGCCACCCCCTTCAAGAGATCCCTGAGCGGCTCGGGTCCTGTGGACTTTGCCCTGACGGAGGGGATGACTGTGCTGGTCACGAATATTAATGAGCTGGGAACCATCCGCTACATCGGACCAGCCGACTTCGCCGAGGGGGTGTGGTTGGGAGTGGAGCTCAGAGCACCAAAAGGTAATCAACTTAACCTGCAATGTACTTTGAATTAATAACTGAACATATATAAAGTTGAAATGATACTACCAGTAGTCCCATTACAAGAAGCCTCAAAATAAAAGTAGTAAATAATTATTCATATGACAAAAACTTAATTTTGAGTCAGCTGACCAAGGGATTTAGTCACTTTCTCAATCATTATTTTACTATGATTTAGAAAGTTGAATTTGTCCAATGTCTGATTTCTTAACTTACTACTAACAGTCAATGTTGCTGGTACATGTAGTTTCTACAGAATATCCATCAAATATGTGCCAAATACATTTGTAGTTGTCAGCTATTTGTAGCTGTACTCTTTTGAAGGGAAATAACATTGAGTTAACGAATTACAGGTAAAAATGACGGCTCTGTGAAGGGAACACGATACTTCAACTGCAGAGCGAACTACGGGCTGCTCGTCCGGCCGAGCCGCGTGACGTGTCGCGGAATCAACGGCAGCAAGCTGCTGGGTGGAAGAGACCAAAAGGGCTTTGGTCCAGGGGTGAGCATCAACCACCGCCAGAGTGCAGAGAACTCCTCCTCCTTCATACAATAGACTAGTCCTCGTGTATCCCATAAGCCACCTTGTTCAGGGGGGTTGAAGATAAGAAACTGTACAAACTGTGGGGTGATTATTAGATAGTCTCACTGTCCTACAGCATACATTGTAGTTTAATATTATTATCTTGTCAAATCGTACTGTAAAATGCCTAAAATTTTTCCCAAGTCTTACGAGAATCTATGGTTTCCAAACCAATGTAGGAAAACAATGCAGTAGTCAATACCTGTTGTTGTTTAGATAAGACACGATGGCAATCTTCTCCGCCTACCTCAAGTCTTTTTACAGGGAAACATTTAAATTTGTTGGTTTCTGGCAGGAAGCAGTGGCTTATGGGATACATTGTGGCTGGCCCATTGTGTCCAATGACTGAACATCGAACCTTTCAACTCCAGTCCTGTTTTATAAGATTGACAACTGGAGTAAAAGAAGTCCAAAGAAAGTACTTATTGATGAGTCATATTCTTTTGGATGGTAGGTTGTATACAAAATTATATCTGAATTTGTTGCTGGTTGACAATTCCTTACATGTACTCATAGTGTTTGTTTTTGGAGTTGTAGCTGCTTTTGTGAGATGTTTTAAAATATATTTGACATCATAGAGCCTTGAATGTTGAAAATATTTGAAATCTACGACCTTGCATCTAGTATATATTAGACTTCTCAGTGATCCATGGTGATATTCTCACATCAGACATATCATTGAAGAAATTTACTTGTGGCGGAAAACTAGTCATTTTAGTACTGATTTTCAGTCAACAGTACTAAAGAGTGTAAGGAATACTGTAAGATGTGAAATTGTTGTCAACACATTAGAAGGAATGCAAAAAAACATCAGATGTAATGTCAACTGATCAATTCAATTCACAGTCAATCACATTAGTAGCATACCAGTGCGTAATAGGCTCTAAAATTATCAACTGGCTATTGAGGGGTCAGCATTGGTTGTTAGTACTTAGGCCATGTTGATTTGATTATATGGATGACATCCTCCGGGAGCCCAAAAACTGATGCGCGCGTGCAAATAAAAAAAAAAGTTTTGCAAAAAAAAAAAGTTCTTTTCATTATGAAATCTACGTGGTCATGAGGGTTGAGCAAATGGCACAGAATATGGTTTTGCGAATAATCTAGTCTTCAAGTTCATTTCTTTACAATTTTGTCTTTTTTCGTTTGATTTTGGCATTCTACGACATTGGTATAGTTTTTATTATTTTTTTTGTAACTTATGGTATATTTTTGCTCATTTTGCAACTGTTTTGTACGATTTACAGTATGGTTGAAAACTTTTTTTTTTTGGAAACGGCCGAAAATTCATGCACGCGCGGATGTCATCCATATAATCAAATCAACATGGCCTTACTCAAATAGGAATATGCAAAATTTGTATCAGGCAGGTCTACCTTGAATCCTGAGAAATGTAACATGTATATTTTGATGGACAAATTCAGAATATTTTTCAACAAAGTATAGAAGTATGAGCAGCTTCTCAAAATGAAACAAATTATCTAGATTTGGATGAATTTTTTTGTACCAGAAGTAGTATTTGTGTGAGGGAAAGTATTTTCATAGTTCAGGGTGTTATGATAGTAATTGTATAGTGATATGTTGTACTATGCACTTGCAGATGTATTTCTAAATGGCTATGCAGTGTGGGTGAACAACCCCTCCTAATAAGGGGTACTGTATGATAGGTTCACATATCCCTAAGAACATGACTAGACCAGTCTGCCTAACCCCTAAGGCTTAAAGGTGATAAGTGCATCTAGATGTTCTCTAATGTATATATTTTGCAATCTTGGCTCTATCTGTATATTTAGAAAGTTTGAGAGAGAGTCTAACTATTTATTGTTTGATAGTTTGATAGAACTATGTTAGGTAATTAGGCCTCTGTTTAGATGAAAATGGTGAAACATACATGTAGGTGTATTAGACTATAGGGCACTTTTAAAATATCATTTCAGAAACATGTGTCAGCTTTGAATTGAATACCATAGTTTTCCACAAACACAAGTCAAGAGCCTTGTTCATCTATACTGTACATGCAGTGTGACTGATTTACATGTACATGTATCTCACATGTCCAGTTTTGTTATGAACATGTACCTACATCTATCATATTGAACCTGCCTTCAGATAATCAGACCATGTTCTTGCCATCAGGAGAGGATTTTCTGTCCAGAGTTTTGCCAGTTAATTTACAAAATGTAGAATATGTCATCAGCTGCCCTTTAGCTATTTACCACAGGTTGATACAAATGTACATTGTACTTCATGGGTGTACAAAATGTACATTTGTATATACCTGTTTTATTGTAAAAAGTACAATGTAGTCCCTCCTTGCTTACATGTAACTAAGAGAATGGTATGAAAACCAAAAGACCAGGATTTGGAATACATGCATATGCCTTTTCTTTGATATACATGGGTCATGTTGTCGATTTATTCCTTTCTTTGTATAGGACTTACACAATGGTTGCCATCTTGGTCGCCTGTTGCAATAATATTTTTTGCAGTAAGGGGGCGCTTTTGATGCATGGCTTGAACTGTCATGATGCAGCCATTGGTAGTTTTGAAATATCCAGTATCAGGTGACTTTACAGCTCATAACATCAACAGATTGATATGCGTAATAATTATTATATTATGTACTTCATAAGTGCTATTCACATACAAGATTGAAACTATCCCCACACAGAAACAGACAGTAACTTGTACTGAACAATCTTTATTTCCTTTTAATTACAGGACTTCAGTGAATGTACAAGAGATATATTCAAAAGAATTTACAAGATGGAATCTATTTACATTGGTCTGTACAATAGAAACTTGAAAGTAAATGTAACAAACTCTTTTTGGACATATATGCTTGAACTTCTCATCGTAATAAATGATATAGGGATAAATCAACTTATCTTTTAACAGTTATCATCTTGGATTAGCTGCAGGTAAACTCAAGCAAGGCCACACCAATTTAATTTCTTGGTTAACGGATTTTTCTAGAAAAATAATGGAGCGGGCGGGCGAAAAAAAAATAAAAACAGGCCTAGGCATCCTATTATGGCCCAAAATGGTACGATAGGAGCCATGAAGTCAACACACCATGCTCGTTCAAAATTTAAACAGTGTCAATTTTGAACTTTTAACGATACCATTGCATTGAAAGATGGAATAACTGTAACAACTAGGATGAAAAGGACTGTTTTCAACTGTTCAGGGCAAAATATGAGCATTTTGCAGTTGATTCTAAATTTTTATTTTTATTTTCAAATCAGAAAAAAATGAAGCGGCGAATCCGTTAACCAAGAAATTAAATTGGTGTTGCCCAAGCTGTAGAAAAAAGGTTGAGTCTTCCCAGTGCCAGCTTTTAGAGACATTGACTTCTTTCATGCACATTCAGAGAAAAGCAGGCACAAGTTCCAAATTTACACAAATGAAATTTCCTATAATAGCAGAACTTAATGATTTCCAAAAGTACATGTAGGCAATGCAGAATGAAAAAAATAATTCCAAATTCTGGACTTAAACCAAAGCAATAGTGTACATAGCTATAGGTGGAAATCCAGAAAACATGGTAAAACTGTGTACTTCAAGAGTTGTGTAGCAGCCACAACTATTTTCGTGGTTAATGTCACCATACATTTTCTCTCATTCTACAAACTCTTACCAACCTAGGCAGGGAAAAGTTTATCTGTAAAAATTACATGTAGTACCAGAACTTCTCACTGTCATAAAATTGCTGAAAGTGATGTACATTGTACATATAATGTACATTTGAATGCAGTTTCCTGTGAATGTCTCAAGCATTCTTACAAAAGCTGAGATTTCCAAGGGCATTTGAAATATAATTCTTCTTACAAAGAGACCATCCAACATTCGACATCATATTTTTTTATTTTTTTACATGTCAACATTTGCATCAAACTGTGTAGCAACAAAACTTTTCAAAAGCAAACCTTTCCATTGTATAAATATCTACAACCAACTCAACATACAACCTTGATCTTGTACCCATGTATAATTGTTCCCAACCATGCTTTTCCCACATGTACCATAGTTTGCCTTTACCAGTCATTTGAGACTTGTACTTTCAAAAGAAAGTTTCTCTTGCTCCTCTTGTACCAGCATTGTATTTACATTGTTCATATTAGAATTACATCCCAGTTCAATTAAATGGATTACAAAATTTCACATGTTCAGCAAGCAACGCAATTTTGTGTCAACATAGCAGATCGTTTTGGAAAAACAGCAAATGAGCAGTACGTGTACAAATTAACAATACTGTTAACGCACTCTGTCTTCCATGTAAATTCAGGCCTGGTCACCATGCTACATACAAGTCTTAGAGTACAAATGTATGTCTCTGTACTGTTTTCATAATCCTTGCAATAGAAATTCTGGTAGTTTTCTGGTCAGTATCCTCACTAGTACAGAGGCTCAACAAACATGATTTTTACTTAATCATGTTTCAGTCGCTGTTGTTTTTTCAGTCCAACTGGCAAAAAAGCAGATTATTATTATTCGGAATCCTGCTCCAAAACTTTGGCATCAGTTCAGTTCAGTTCATAGCATCTCAGTCAAGAGATACACATACTGTATCTCCACTGATCAAGTCTACAAGGTATCACACCTCTCCTATGATTACTGCTACATTTGTACCTGTAGGTCATTCTACAGTCACTGTGTTTCCTATTTAACAAGAGAAAGTCACTTTCCATAATTACATTGTAGTGCTTTCACTACACTTTCTCTTTTATTCTGTGTATTGTTGATTTTCTCTAGCCTGGGAACCATCCTGGTTAGTTTACGTCCGCTCCCACAGTCTCTAACGACCAGCTATGGTTTGTTGATAGCGACTATGCGAGCGGACGAAAAATACCCAGAATGGTACCCAGGCTACATTTTCTCCTGATTTGTCCAAATATTGGATATACAGTTGTACTTAGCGATGACTTAACGATGAGAAAACTTCACGTGACGTTGGTCACCATGGTTGCTCTGTTGACGTACTCGTCGAAGATGGTGCACAGCGCCTTGTAGATGGTGGCGAAGGACGGACGATTGGACGGAACCTTGGACCAACACCTCCTCATCAGCTGGTACACCTCGTGTGGACAGGTGTCAGGCTGGGAGAGGACGTTCCCATCACGCACATATCTGTGGGGAAAGGAGGTACGGAAATACTGTCATTCACTTCACAGTTGCAAAATTTCACAATTCAAGAAAAATGATTTGATAACAGTAATGATAACTTTGCAGGGGTCCACACAAAAAAAGGCTAATATGTTGGCATTTTTTCTAGGGTCAGTTGGGAAACAGGAAACACAACAGTTTCTTCCTAGGCTTCACGCACATATCTGTAGGGATAGGGGGCTGGGAAATTAGAGGGCTACAGTGTAATAAGTTCAACAGGGTAGAACCATGTACTGTAGTGTAATAAGTTCAAGGGGGGTACAACTATGCATTGTAATGTAATAAGTGCAACATGTATTGTACAATGTAGTGTAATAAGTTCAACAAGGTATAACCATATATTGCAGTGTAATAAGATCAACAGAGTGCAACCGTGCATCGCAGTATGAACGTGTACAATCAAGCAGTGAGAGTACTGAAGACGAAAATAACCCTCAAGGTCATGATGTTTTGAGTTTTTGGAAAAGACATACCAAAAACACGAAAAAATCATATATTTTGAGTGATATTTTGAGTTTTGGAAAAAAGACATAACAAAACACAAAAATACATACATTCAAATCATATTGTAATTGATGTCATATTGTAATTGATGATGTAGGATGTACTGTAGACCATACCTGATGACCTCCTCATGTGTCATGCCATAGTAAGGCTGCAGAGCGAAGGAGTAGATCTCCCACAGCACCACCCCGTATGCCCACCACATCTGACTCCGTCGTGTACTTGTTGTACAGTATAGACTCCGGGGGCGATCCATCTGATCGGCACTGCGTCGTTTTCGTCCGCCTTGTAGTAATCCGAGGAATACATCTGCCGCGCCAGTCCGAAGTCTGCGATTTTGACGGTTAATCCCTCCCCGACCAGGCAGTTCCGCGTGGCCAGGTCCCGATGTACGAAGTTCTTCCTCTCCAGGTATTTCATCCCGGAGGCGATCTGTTTGGCGACGTGAAGCTGGTCGATGTTGTCCAGTTTGGGCAGGGTGGCCGTAGTCCTGCCCTCCCGCCGGATCAGGTACTGGCTGGAGCTGGACAGACGCAGGAACTCGTTCAGATCCCCGTGTCCCATGTACTCAAACAGTAGACACAGCGGCCGGCCCACCGCGCACACGCCCAGCAGTTTCACAATGTTCGGGTGATCGAACTCCGACATGAGTAAAGCCTCGTGTTCAAAGTCGCGCTGCATGTCCAGACTCGCCTCGTCCTTCAGCATTTTCACGGCGACCATGATGTGGTCCTCGCCGGGCACGATTCCCGGAGCTTTGGCCTGCGAGAAATGATAGTTCTTGTTCAGACACTTGGCCTGCGAGAGATTACAGCCAGGGTTAAAAGGGTTAAACTAAAACAGAAAAATCATGCACAACATTCAAGAAGGTTACTTAGGTTAAGTAAGATTGGGGAAACTGATAACTCCTACTGTATAAAGTATTTTCTGAATAACTAATGTACGATGTAACTGACCTACATGTATGTATGTTATGAATATTTTTCATTTAACTCAAATCTAAATTTCAACCTCTTGTACTCGGCCCTATACATTGTACATGTAGATTATGATTAGGACTACAGCACTCTTGTCCAACATATAAAAACTGAGACAATACGTCAAGTAATGTTAAGGCCACACCAATTTGATTTGTTGGTTCTTGGATTTTTTCAGAAGCTAGAAATATTAAGCAACAGGGAGAAAAAAAACTAGGAGCTTTTTTTCAACTGTTTGGACCAAAATATGAGCATTTTGAAGTTAATTCAAAACCTGAATCCATTTTTTTCTGCGATTCAGAAAAAAAATTAAGCGGGCAAATCCATGAACCAACCGTGGCCTAATGTTAATGATTATGACACTGACCTGGAAGACCCTGCCGAATGCGCCCTCCCCCAGGTCTCGTATGAAGATGATGTCGTTCCTGGGATACTCCAGTTTCTCCAGTTTGGGGTTCATGAGAGTCGGGGCGGAGCGGTGGTACATGGGGTTAGCTGGTAGCTTATCCAACATCAACTCATCAGGGAGGGGAGGGGGGGACGGACCACTGAGGGGGAACATTCAAACAACCTTTAGTATAGAAAAGAGTATGGAAAGGACACTAATATTTTCTACTCTGAGGCTCTCAGTCTCCACTGTCATGTGTAAAACAACCTGTTTTTGTCATGTTTTTCTGCTCTAAAAGTAAAACACAACTTCGGAAAGTTGCAAAGCAGTATGGACTATATATTTTCCCTGGTACTGTTCTTTTACATTTTGTTATTTTTCAAGTCCCTTCAAAAGGCTTCAATTCAACTTTGATTTTATTTCAAGATTTCAATTTGTACATGACACAGTTATTATTTTTTGTACCAAAGGAAACTGGGCAAATGACACGACTAGCAGTGATTTTATGTGAAACATGTTGGAATCACAAAAGAAAAGTCTAAAGCAAACTAATTGTTGATGCATACATTTTGTACATGTATACTTAATTATCATCAGTAGCAAATGCTAATTGAAAAATAACAAACTTTCAATGACAGTCCACATCCAGCATGAAAATGCAACATCACAAAAGCTGCTTAACAGGTCTCAAACAAGCCAAGATGCTCAGCTGATAACATAGAACCTTGAGTGTTATCAACAAAGATGACCACACATCTTTCAGCATTTGCACACACAAATGGTAGGCCGTCAGGATAAAAACTCAAAGGAGGGATACAATGTACCAAAACAAGATACAATTTGCCAGGCAAAAGAAATTCAGATTCAACATGCAGAAAATCACTCATCAGGAAATCAAACTTACTGAATAAAACAAAAACCACACCAGTAACAAACTTCAGTCAAAGATGGTTAAGGCTACTGAAGTGAAGAACAACTATATGGTAGTTGGTGAAATGATTGATGCTGTTGACATGCATCAATTAAGGCCACACCAAGTTAATTTGTTGGTTCTCTGATTTTTTCAGAAAAAATATGAAGCGACAGGGCGAAAAAAAATAAAAATAAAAACAGGCCTAGGCATCCTATTATAGCCCCAAATGCTTCGATTGGAGCCATGAAGTCAACACAAAAGGCTGGGATAAAATTTAAACAATGAATTTTGAACTTTTAACCAAACCACTGCATTAAAAGATTGAAAAACTGTAACAACTAGGAAGAAAAGGACTTTCCTCAACTGTTGGGAGCAAAATATGAGCATTTTTTAGATGATTCAGAACCAGAATTTTTTTTTTTTTTTGCAAATCAGAAAAAAATGAAGAGGCGAATCCGAGAACCAACAAATTAAATTGGTGTGGCCTAAGGAGGTTAAATGATGAAACACAGCACAGCAGACACCCTCCCACAGGGGAGCACAGAAATGACTGAGAACAGACCGTATAGAATTGAAGGTGTTACATGGAGGAAGGCCGCCCCTAAAGGAGCAACAAAAAGCCGTGAAGATATGAACATGTTGTCTCATTTGAAGTGTAGCAACAGTTTACACACTCCTTTAAAGTTTAAGTGTTTACTCCATCTTGTTTGAGCTGCATCATTCTGATAATCATTTTACTGGCAGTTTGCTTTTCCATAGAGCAACCTTGTGACCTAACTGTCTTTAATTTGTGAAGCTCCTAACATGTGATGGCTGAAAATGTAGAATTTTATCAAATTCTCAAGTGCAAGGTGAAATATTCAGATTTTACAGATGAAGACGTGAGGAACACAGAAACAGCAGAAGTGGAAAGAGGACGGTACTGTACCCTCCGTTACTGGTGGCAAACTTGGTAACAGGGGTTTCCGAAGCTGCCTTTTCCGCCTTCCTGTCATGGTGGAAGTGAGAGACAGTTACAGGGCAGGACAGACAGAAGGAGTGAAGAAGGAAGAAAGATAGAAATGAGACGAGAAAAACCTCTGTTGTTCAGTCAGGCTCCCTAGTAAACAGTTCTGTGTTAACAGTGGCCACAACAACAGATTAGAAAAAAAAAAAACTTTAGGTAAATTCTGTACACTTGGCATCAGTACAGAGTACAGAGTACTGAAGCCAAGAAAGTAAGTATCTGCCATTTTAAAACACAGACACTAGCTAGGTTACCAACTACCGGTATGTCATCTTACGCAACAGAGGTTTTGTTTGCAAAGGTTGTTAATGAAATAGTGTTTGAAGGAAGAAGTACAAGAGAAAATGAGACTTTAACACAATTTGACAACAAGGAATGTATTGTTGGTTGTTGATATTAAGAATGTTGCATTAGACACAGGGCTCAATATATGTAGAATCGTCAATCGATGGAAGCACAGTGGCATAGTTCATAATAGTGATGCATACCGGTTCACTGGACTTGGATCCGGACTTGTAAGAATGTTTAGGTTCAAGTCCAAAAAAACCTAAAAGTCAAGAACCGAGTCCGGACTTATTACCATAAAAGACCATTTCACATACCCCCTTTCTTTCCAAACCACCTAAAACCTTCCGTACATTGTAAAATCTTTGCTGCAAAACGAAGAAAACATTGCCATCGGGCATTGTCAAGTACCGGCCTCCATGTTATGTGGCCAAAGTTTCACCCAGACAACATTGCAAGGTTGCCAACATGCAGTTTTGTATATGCCATGGGTTTAGGTCCGGACTTACAAGTCTGGACCTGAACCTAAACCTCTGGACTTGAATCCGGACCTGAACCTAAAATTGGGTTTAGGTATGCATCACTAGTTCATAATATGTCATTTTAAAAAGTATCCAAACATAACATTTCAAAACTTTTTCACAACTGTTTCAACAGTTTTTAAGAGATTCTGACAGGACTGAGTGAGTAAGTGAGTGACAGGACTGATGATCACTACAACAGGTAAATTTTTATGAATTTGGATATAACATCTGTGTCCATAATATCACCAGGGTCCATAATATTGCTACCTTGAGAAACAGTGTGCTTAAAGATATTTTTACTGCAACATACTTTTGGTATGCACTCCTTCACACATCAAATGTACATACCTAGGGTATGTTGCAGTAAAAATATCTTTAAGCATACTATTTCTCAAGGTGGTGATATTATGGACGCTGGTGATATTATGGACACAGATGTTAAGCAGAAACTGCACAAACTTTTAGTCAAACATATGCCCCTTCTCAATATATTCAGACATAGATTCAGCCCTGTTGTACACAGAAGAAAGAAGTTGGAATAGAAGAAGTGATTACTCAGACGGGAGTTTGGAAGATGTGTCTTCTTCCTCTCTGCTGGTGGAGGCGCACACAGAGAGAACAACATGGGAACATCAATCATGAAACTTCATCTGTGTTGGTAGTTACATGTTTAAAGTTCAAACTATAGATCCAACACAAAGACGTTCTCTCATCTAGAGCTTTTGACCAATAACTCTCAGTAAACTGACCCAGTGAGGCTTGTCACATGGCCTCTTTGAAGTGTGACATCAACACTGGGTCAAAGGTATATACACTCAACCGCGATGGAAGCCGACATCATCTACCAGATACCTTTGACCCAGTGTTGACGTCACACTTCAAAGAAGCCACGTGACAAGTCTCACAGGGTCAGTCTACTGAGGAAGACAAGAGTGACTGGTTGAAAGCTGTAGCTAAAACTATTATAAATGAAATAAATAAATAAATGAAATAGCTGAGAGAACTTTATTGTGTTGGATCTAAAGTTTTAACTTTTTCAATTAAACAAACATGGTTAACTTCTGTGATGTCAACAGCAGGGTCCAGACAAAATGGAGTCAGACTCAAAGTCAATAGTAACGGTATGGGCTAACTTCCCATATAATACACAAGGAAACGGTTATTCAAGCAACTGGATAGCTGAATGTCTAACCATTGACAATTCCAAAGTAATTTCCAAATGCCAAAAGTGCCTTGCAATTTTCTGAGATTTTTAACGACTGCAACATTTTTGGATTCAAATTTTGATGACATTTGTATGAACCCTGATTGACGTATGCACCTATCAAACTAAACCCCAGAAAGGGGTGATGAAACAGTCTACCATGCAGAGATGGTGTATGAATGTGTGTCTACATGATATTCTCTAAGACTTAGGCCACACCAATTTAATTTGTTGGTTCTCGGATTTTTTCAGAAAAAATATGAAGCGACAGGGCAAAAAAAAATAAAAATAAAAACAGGTCTAGGCATCCTATTATAGGCTTAAATGCTACAAAATGAGCCATGAAGTCAACACAAAAGGCTGGGTTAAAATTTAAACATTGAATTTTTAACTTTTAATCAAACCACTGCAATGATAGATGGGAAAACTGTAACAACTAGGAAGAAAAGGACTTTCCTCAACTGTTAGGGGCAAAATATGAGCATTTTTCAGTTGATTCAGGACCAGAATCAAATTTTTTTTTTTGCAAATCAGAAAAAAACGAAGAGGCGAATCTGAGAACCAACAAATTAAATTGGTGTGGCCTTAGCTACATGGAAATGTACATTGTGAAGGTTACTTCTAACTTTCTTCAAGTCTTCTCAGCTACAAGACATATGTCACAAAGACACGTGCAAAGAGTGAACACGAGTGGCAGAAGAGACAAAAGTGACAAGAACAATGGAAGAAATGAATGGCTAAAGGATGGGTCATTAAATATAAACTAAATAACTTCTGTATGATCTACAGATTAGATGGCTACAGCAAAAACTCTACATTCAAGTCCCTTTCAAAAAACATTTTTGGAACAGATGGAGAGTCTTGTAGAAAATGACGCCAAATTATTACAAGCTTCTACAATGTAGCTGTAAGAGAACTACATGTATATACAGTGTATCAGCAATTAGTATTTTTGGAAAAGGGGTAAATGATTGTTTAGACATAATTATGAAAGAACCAAGGTACAGGTATATTTTACACAATGAATGACATGTAACACAGGTTAATATACATTGTATGTGATGACTTCACCTGGCAAGGCTTTTATGGAGGAACAGCAGCAGCAGTGTTAATTGCATTAACGTTATATCCTACCATGAAATGAATGAAGTCACGACAATGAAGTGAAAATGATGATGTCTTAGTATCAGTACTAGGTCCATCAGTCCTGGTGACACCAGTGTGCTGTGGCCTGAGATACTAGTAGATTTTCTGCCTCTGGAAAGTCTTTATTTTTGGGGGATTTTCACATTTATGTTCAGATGACACTAGTCCAACTGTAAGATTAAAAAAACTAAAAGGAATCCTATGTTTGTAAAAAGTTGGCTTTTTTGCAACTTTACATGTTTCAACATAAAGCACACACTTAGAAACAGCCTGGACAGTAATTAACTCTGTGAAGTTATTTGTTGTCTAGTTGATATTAAAGCTTTGAAAACCAAGAACAGGACTGGAGCCAAGACAGGTTTAGGTATATAGCAACAGAGACAGTCTGAGTGATTACAAGTTCTTAAGTAAAGACATCCAGGGTGCTGAACTGCATTCCACTCAATTGTCATGTACAATAAATGTAGATCATAATTATGGTGTTGTCACACGTTTTTTCATGTTCATTGTGTGAGTTCTACACTTTTTAGCTGAAACATCATAATGCCAAAAGATCTTTCGATACTTAAAATCTAACAGTGGCAGTTCAAGCACGTCAGCAGAACGTATTGCACCTGTGCGAAACCCTGATTTTTCACAGCTTTCCTTGTATTTTTGCTCACTGTTGCATTAGAATTTTGCCTGTTGCAGAGGATATCTTTTCTGATATAACATTTTGGAAACTACAGATGGGATGTTAACATTATTATACACAAATACGATCTTATATGAGACATTCTGCCGAAGTGCTATGTACAACACATTACAGGTTTCATGCTGGTGCAATACATTCTGTTGACATGTTGGCAGTTCAGAACTGGATGCCTTTAGCTGATGGTAGGTCTGTGCCCAGCACATGGATACAGCAGGACAGACGGCCTGCCCATGCCAGCGGAGTGACTGTACCTGTAGTGGGGATAGAAGGGCAGGGAGCGCGGACGCAGCGAGCTACAATACACAGAGGAAAGCGGGGAGGGACAGGAGCGGAAGCTGGAAGCACGAGGAGGAGGAAGGTCGTAGCTGACAGCTTGCGCGGCAGCAGAGGCGCTGCAAGTACAGAAACACAGTTAGAGTCTTCTCCACTTTCTCTGTCTTCCAGTCGGTAGATTGTCAGATATTGGAGTTTTTCTTGTGCACAACCACGTTCTTCTTCCTACCTGCCAATGTTTTGCCTATCTTCCTACCCTCGTAGCCAAGGAAAGTCAGTAGGACTACCAAAATGTTGGCAGGTAATAAAAACCACTTGGTTGTGAAAAAGGAAACTCCGATACCTCAACCATTTTGCTTTACACAAGTACATGCCCTTCATATGGCACATGCATTTCCCTTTATTATTTTGTTGCATTGCTTAATCTATATAGA